TATTTGTGATAAAAAGATATGACACCCAGGAGTCAGGATCATGGGGCAGGTAATAAAGGACAACATAATAGTCAACCAAAGAGAAAGCAAAAAATGGTTGAAGTAGGTTTAAGAGGCAAAATAGCTGGAAATGAGAGGAAAGATGTGCATTTTGGATACTGTGTTCATGATTGTGTGATGAACAGAAATTCTCATTTACATGAGTAAATTATGACCATGTGTGTGAGGTGGATCTACCCTTTACACCTACATTTTGGTCCAAGCAAAACCTTCCCCTTAGTTTGGTGAGAAACAGTAAACTGGTATGCAATGTATGTCAGAAACATAATGCAAGGGGAAAGGGTTAACCTTCCTCCTAAACAATAAGATCCTACTTGTATTGTCCTTTCCTCCTGGCAACAGCTGTTTTAAAAATGACCACATATCATTAGGCTATGTATTCATCATTATGTGTTGTTTGACTCAAAGAGATTGACTTGAGGATGTTGGCTAAAGGCTGGGGTATTTAGAGGGGTCAGTAGTTGGTTGAGAGAGCTGGGGCAAACAAATCTAGAGTTGGTTGATGAACTGTACTTAACCCCTGAAGAGCATAAGGGAGACATGGCAGAGAAGTAGGCAATGTTCCCAAGAAAGCCTTGCACCACTTGACTGCAGGTGACAAATGGAGCAAAAAGTAGAATATACAGAAGGCAGAGAGTGTGCATGTCGAAGGAGAGAATGTGTTGCTCAGATTGGATGAACTCTGTGGCACAAGCTGAGCATTTCCAAGTGAAGATGAGAACAAGAAAATGCCCAAAGTCGTATGTTGGGGAATGCATCCCAAAGCAAACATGGAAGGAATGAGGGACAGGAGATGGGAAGCAGCTGTGTCACAGAGACAATGAATGTTAAGTTTGAAATGACAGGAGGAAGGTACAGAAGTTGTCGGAGTCTGAATGGAAAGTTGAGAGTGGGCCAGGTGGTGATACAGGATAGAAATATAGAGATGAGATGCAAAGCGGAACAGATTTTTGCAGAATGAATTTGGGAGGCAGTGGAATGAGAGGTCAGCAGAAGCAGGGACTGGCAGAATTGGAAGTGCAAAGGCCGCCACCACAGTAACCTCCAGTGAGAAGTGTGTGGAATAAAGTAATTTGAAAGGAAAGGGCAACAACAGTGTCAGGAGGGGGCAGTAAAGTATTCGTGAGAGCTGGTATTATGCTTATGTAGTATTAGTAGTTGTTTATGACATGTGATCAATAGAAATTAAAATGAATATTTTGCTTTGTAATGTTTTGTTCTGTGGTGCTGTACTAGAGACTACTTTCTGTTTTCACATTGTTGCAGGTGACTTTGTTTATAGGTTGGGAAATAGATGAGTATGTTACTTTATTGAATTGAACAAGCACTTAATAAAAACTACTATCCATCACTTGTTATTTAACATAGTCTAGTAGACACAAATAAATGAACTGGAAAATGAATTGTGGAAGATAAGAGACTTTGGTAGTTCTCAGAAGGTTGATATCCATATATATTATACTTACTCTTTTTAAAATGGTAAATTATGTTAATATTAATGTTACTGGCTGCACTGTGGGTTTTGTTAGTGTGGTTTCTTCCTTTAGTTGTTTGGGCACCTTCTTATGGAGACATTCACAAATCACACCCAGAAGTAATGGTTCACCTTATGTTTGATTATGGAGTAAAAAATAGTAGCTGCAAATATTACTTATGGTGTTGTGTGCTCAGTTAACTCTTTCTGGTATTTGCTTCATATGAAGTATTTAATACTGCAGGTTTAAGAGCAACTATGCAATGAAAATATATTCATAGACGTCCTTTTGAGTTGAATAAATCATGAAGCTGAATCTTGAGATGCTTTCAGCAATAATCTGAGAATATTCCTGTTTAAATATTTATGTTTGTTTCTAAAATTGTATGTCATGTGTTATACATAAAAGACAAATCCATTTAAAACAAGAATTACTTGCCAATATGAAATCTCCTACAATCATTATTTGTAAGAGGTCATTGAGGTCCCTTTGAATATACTGAAAAATTCTAATACTTTTGCAGGGTCAGGGTAAGCAGTTTGCTCTCTGCCTTGCAAAACAGTAGTATTGTGTAGCATTCAAGCTTTTCTTGGAATGTTGTGCTAACCCAAATTTCACATCTGTAACAAATTCCTGGCCTTTAAAGCTAGATTGTATCTTCAAAAATACTGACAGTGGCAATCGGATGGATAATACTAGGTAACCAAACATACAATACCTTCCCCACATTGCCCAAAGGCTGCAGTCACCATAGCTCATGATTTAGACTTCAATTTGGATGTTAAGAGGCGTCAGTACACCAGTACACCACGATTCCTGGCCACACTAATTTAAGGGGCACTTACCTTCTTTGTTTGTTACCTATTGAAAAAAATAATAAATGGATGTTATGGTGCCAGTTTAAAAAAGGTGGTCTTTATGTAGAGGCTGCCATGAACCACTTTTGAATAATTATGCAGCCATATGGTGGTCATAACTTTTTATTGGACTTTGATGCATGGTCTGACCTAATGGCATTATCATCAGCTGTCCATATAACCTGGCCACTCTGTGGAGGTAGCTTTTAATCAATTGATTAAGTATACTCATACACCCAAAAAAAGAAAAAAGAGAAACTTCATCATATTCAGCCAAACTTAACACAAGTGATATTCCAATTTGACATAATTTCACTACATACTTAGATGCTCAACAGATTGCTTGAACTTGAATTCTTCCACCCCAGTACAGTTTATTCAGTTTGAAGTTGTGTGTATCATTTGCACTAGTCCACAAATACAGCAAAAGCTAATCCTGACGAACTCCTTGAAACAGAGCAGTGGCTGATAATTAAAGCCTAGGCTTAGGAAGCAAAGGCATGTATAATAATCTGTCACTGGGAATATTATACAATTGACATGGTCTTGTTGCTTCATTTCAATTTTTGAATATTTGCTTTCAGTTAGGGTGCATCTAGACAAGTGTTTCTGTTGCATCCTAGAAAGGTGTTTCTGAACTCCAGTCTTCAGAGGTTTAAACAGCAGTGCAAGGCTATTTGCCAAAAAAGCTTTCAAAGAGCACTGTAAATACCCTACGATCAGGATTCTGCAATGTGAAGCCCCCCACACCTGTCATATTTGACCCAGCAGGGGTGGGAAGATAAGAATGTGACTCTCTGGCCAGAAAGTTTTCTCACCCTTGTAGCACAGCATCCTGTTTCCCACAGTGGCCAGCCCCAATGCCAATAGAAAGTTCACAAGCAGGGCGTGAGTGCAAAAGCCCTCTTCTGCCGCCTCCTGGTTTACAGAAGCATGCGGTCTATGATCCTTAAAGATAAAGTCTATGCAAATAGTATAGTTTGTGTTCAACATGGCTAATAATTTGTTTGCTCAAGAAACATAGAAAGTGACTGTATACTAGGTCAGGTTTATAGACCTTAGATTTTCTGCTAAAATGGCTTCTAACCAGAGATAAAACTTGAGGTCCTGGAAACCTGTTGCCTGTTAAAGTAGATGATACTAGATTAGCTGAACAAATCTGGCATGGCCACATCATTGGGCTGAAATAAAGCACAGTGTATTTGGGTGGTTAATTGATTAATACCTCTAAATGGAGTCTTTAAGTGAAAAGGGACTATCAGTTAAGATTAAAACAAAAAGTTTATTGGGGGGGGGCAGATAAATTTGTTCCAGTATGAAAAGTCTTTTCAGTACAGTACTTGGAATAGCTTGGCTAGAGTGTCAAATCCACAATTTTTATGCTAGAGCATTTATCCAGCTGTCCATTGAAAACAACTTTTTAAAATTCTATAAGGATAGAATATCTGTGGAAAGTCTAGCATGTGCATCTCATATAATCTCATATCTCAAATTAACATTTTTTAAAAAACATACTTGACCTTTTCTACTGCTATCTGACCTTTAATATTTTAGCCCCAAGTCTAGTAAACATCAGTTTGGAAAGCAATGGTTTACAGAGCATTCTCAATAGTCTTCATCTCCTTCAAATCATAACAGTTGAAGCTTAGCAGATGCTGTGGCATTAAATCTACTTCTGCAGAAAAAGCAGCTTTATTTCAGACTGCAGGCAAATAGGTTTGGGATTTATTAAGTGTTTCATCTTAGAACTGAAACAATAAAACGTGTTCACCTCTGGGTACCTATTAATGACCTTAAGCCATGTGTTGGCTGGATTTTCTGATTTCCATATGATCGACAGAGCAGATTAGAATTGGGAGATAGTGTTCTTCCTCTCTGGTACACGTACAGTGTCTGGAAGTTAACTCCCATATCTGATAGACTGGCTGTTTGCAATTTTACGATACAAATGTGACCTGCATCCAGATGCTGCAGCGTGGAGTTTTTCTATTCATGGTTCCATCCATGTCCTCTTGTAGGATACCCTATTGCATTCCAGCAGCACCCAAATTTTTCTGCCCCAATCAGACATTATTCTGTGGCCAATGAGCATGCCAAGTCCTTATTGAGCTGTTCCTTTGCATGGAGTAGGGGTAGAGGCTCTTAGGTTTCTGTTCTTGAAAATTATCTGTACTTCTACAAAACATAGAGCTCCCCAAAGCATGCTGAAGCATCCCGTTTGCTTCTTGGTAGCTCTGCTTTGTCTTTGGTGGTGCTCACCTGCTGAGTTCATGACTGAAGTGAGTGATTAATTGATGTCAGTGTTCTAGGTTTCATCGCGAACATGTAATACTTTAGATGGGTTTGAAAATGGGACTAAGCAGCACCCACAAATATATTAATCTTGCTTTCGATTTAAGTATATTCCAGGTGTATCTACTTTACCCAAAATACAGTGAATTCCTGTTATATACTTCCCACAGGTAATGGAAAAGTGCTGAGAAAAAATGAACCTTGGCTTGTCCGTGGAGTAAATATTAAATTTGTTTCATGTACATGTTTTGAGTTGTGTTTAGTATTATAAGAGGCCTCTGAATGTTTTTCTCTCGATACTTAATGATCATTTCAGGCCACAGAGAGTGAAGCTGGCGATATGGATCTGAGTGGGTTACCAGAGACAGCAGTGGATTCTGAGGATGATGATGATGAAGAGGATATTGAGAGGGCTTCTGATCCTCTAATGAGCAGGGATATTGTTAGAGATTGCCTGGAGAAAGACCCAATAGACAGGACAGATGATGATATTGGTAAGCTACCATGGAAACCCAGCAGAGGAGGATGTTAGTGGCATTTGCAGTTTCTTTAACATGTATTTTATTTTCCAAAATTTTACTAAATGACACTTTAACAAAAAAAGATTTTTAATATAATAAACAAAAGGAAGTTGTAAAATGCTTGAAATGTAGTATGATTAATGACTTGTTAAACCTGTAGAATATAATGAAAATACAGTACACAACACATTGTGGAATAATACAAGCTTAGAATCCCATGGCATATTCCTAAAATCTCATTATCAAGTAGTTGTCATTGCTTATACATGTTTAACTCAGTGAGTTCATTATTCTTTAGAACAACTCCTGGAATTCATGCATCAGTTACCCGCTTTTGCTAATATGACAATGTCAGTGAGGAGAGAACTCTGTGCTGTGATGGTGTTTGCAGTCGTAGAAAGGGCGGGGACCATAGTTCTAAATGATGGAGAAGAGGTAAGTAGTTGCATAATTCAGTGGTCCTTCCTGAGAGATCTAAAACTTCTTTTTTATGTTCTTAACCCCCCCCCCCCAAATATTTTTGCACCGGTGCTTACAGATAACCATTAGCTGAACAGAATATTGTTAATGTAGCTTGGACTTAGACTTTAGTTCACTTTCACATTTGTAGTAGATCACAGATGGGTGTAATGTAGCCTGAATGTTATGCTAGTGAAAAATGGTATTAAATGTATGCAGCTTCCTATGTTCCTGTATTTGCAAGCCCTTCCTTACAACCACAAGGCTTCAGTTTGACAGATAACATCAGATGCAAATTAGTTGCAGCAACTGCAGTGATCTATAACTGCCAACTGCCCCACCCTCCGTGTTCTAAAACTGCCAGCTTGGCTTAGAGCATCTTTTGATCAGAGGAGTTGAGGAGAGTCAAGAGTGAAAGCGATAGAGTGCTGTCTGGTTTGGTCGTGTGATATCAGTGTTGGGTGTGTGATATCAGCGTTGGGTGTGTGATATCAGCGTTGGGTGTGCGATATCAGCGCTGGGTGTGCGATATCAGCATTGGGTGTGCAATATCAGCGTTGGGTGTGCGAAATCAGCGTTGGGTGTGCGATATCAGCGTTGGGTGTGCGATATCGCGTTTAGTGTGTGATATCAGCGTTGGGTGTGTGATATCAGCGTTGGGTGTGTGATATCAGTGTTGGGTGTGCGATATCAGCATTGGGTGTGTGATATCAGCGTTGGGTGTGCGAAATCAGCGTTGGGTGTGCAATATCAGCGTTGGGTGTGTGATATCGGCGTTTAGTGTGTGATATCAGTGTTGGGTGTGTGATATCAGCGTTGGGTGTGCGATATCAGCATTTGACAGATAACATCAGATGCAAATTAGTTGCAGCAACTGCAGTGATCTATAACTGCCAACTGCCTCACCCTCCGTGTTCTAAAACTGCCAGCTTGGCTTAGAGCATCTTTTGATCAGAGGAGTTGAGGAGAGTCAGGAGTGAAAGCGATAGTGTGCTGTCTGGTTTGGTCGTGTGATATTAGTGTTGGGTGTGTGATAACAGCGTTGGGTGCGCGATATCAGCATTGGGTGTGTGATATCAGCGTTGGGTGTGCGATATCAGCATTTAGTGTGTGATATCAGCGTTGGGTGTGCGATATCAGCATTTAGTGTGTGATATCAGCGTTGGGTGTGCGATATCAGTGAGTGTTGTAGGCATGGGGAAAGTTTGCTCGAAGTGTACCTGTCTGCATGCAGATCCTGAAGAGAGAGCAGAGCAAGCAAGTGTAAGAAAGAGCTTGAGAGATCATGAGCCATGTGTCATGCAGCCCTCAGATGGTTTGGCAAGCTCAAATGTGACCCATGGGTCTGAAAAGGTTAGCTGTCCTGTTCCATACTGCTTATAGCAGAAGCAAATACAATGTTTTATCTTCTTTGCCTTAAAAGTAGCTGATAAATAAGGCAGCATATCCAGTAGATATGTCTGCGTCTCCTTTAACCTCTGTACATGTGTAAAGTTTATCTTGGTAAAACTGCAGGATCTTGAAGTGGTTTTTTATTATGTATATGTGTACTTTCCCGCTTTTTTCATTTCCCTTTTGCAAGCATTTATTGAAAAACAAATTCACACAATGATACCTAAAAAGGTGAAATGGTTTTCCTATGTATGTATGTCTCAAACTCTATGTTTCATTTTTAGCTGGACTCCTGGTCTGTTATTTTGAATGGTTCTGTGGAAGTAACCCATCCTGAAGGAAGATCAGAAATATTATGCATGGGAAACAGTTTTGGTGTTTCCCCTACCATGGACAAAGAATACATGAAAGGAGTAATGAGAACCAAAGTGGATGATTGCCAGGTAGAAAATAAAATCTGAATTACCCGTTATAATAACATGCAAATATATGACAGGTTCAGATGTAATGCTGAATTATCATTGGTGTGTTTTCCTCTCTTCTCCAGCACAGCTGTGTGGAAGAGATCAGAATATGTGGTTACTCTATGACAAAACTGGCCAGTGGGTTGGATCCAGAATTCCCCTACCCTCCACAGGCCACTTTTGACAGGTGGTCAGGATCACCCACCTGCCACTCACATGACATGACATCGCATAACATAACATAACATCAGGTGACCTAACTTTGAACCCATGGCAAAGGAATCAGGAGTCACTCTTAAGTGCATCCACTTCCTCCTTTGTGGTCTCAGGATGAATTCAAGCTATGCTTGCAAAGGAAGGTTTTTTTCCCCTTTGCAGTCTCAGCTTGAATTCAAGCTGCAAAGATTCCTGCCAAGAGTGATTCTTGCATTTGGCGTTGGATTTAAATTCAGTGCAAAATGCAAGTGCCACTCTTGGAAGAGATGACTTCATTCAGAAATTCCAGTTGCGAGTTCTAAGTGGAGCCAATTGCCAACAAGGCACAATCAGCACTAAATTTACATGAATAGCTCCTAAGTGGAACAAAGCAGAGCTTGCATTTGACACAAAATGCAAAAGACAACAAATGTAAGTCCCGCACCAGGAGTACACTACTCTAGTGTGTCTTTGCAGCCACAGCTTGACGTTCTTCACACCTGCTGTCATATGGTGTCAGCTGTGGGACAGTTGGGTGTGGCTGAGGAAAAACAGCTTTGTGAGTGATAGACCCCAGGAGGAAAGATGGAGCCTAGCCACCCAGGTGAAGGCAGCCTCGTGGTACAGAGGCTCCCTGATGCTGATACCAGGCCCAATGCTCGCCAGCAGCATCAGGCAGCCCTGTTCTGCAAGGCTGGATAGGGTGGCTTGCACCATACACCTTGTGAAGTGGTGCAGAGGCAGCCTGATGGTAGTACTGGGGCAAAGCACACACTTGGCTACTGCCTGGCAGCCTTCACCTGGGAGGGTGGGCTGCGTCTTTCTTCTGAGGGAATACAATCACCCCGTGAGGAAAGAGGCAGCCTGCCTGCTCGCGTGAAGGCAGTCAAATGCATGGAGCCTGACAGGTTTGGTGCTCTTGGCTACTACCACCTAGTCCATCTTCTGGGAGTGGAGGGCGAATGGGCTATCTCTTTCTCTTAGAAGAAAGAGGTAGCTCGCCCACCTTCCCCATGGCAGCAAAGGTAGAGGGAGCCTCAGAAAGGAGTCCCTGCCGCTCGCATGCCATAGATCTGGAGATCTATGCCTGATCTATGGGTTTGGGAAATGTCAACAGGCTTTCCCACCTGGATAAATGGGTCTTAACAACTGACTACTTGTTAGGGTCTTCATCCTGTTTTAAATGTGTTTGTGTTTTAATTTTTTAAAGAATTATTTTACATTTAAATTGCCTTGAAACTGTAAATTTAGAAGGCAATTAATATAAAAAGGGTAGCAACAACAATAATAAACCACAGTATGAAGTTGTTTACTGAACCATAAAAAGAACAGCCAAGGTTTATCCAGGTTTGGACAACTGCCAACTGGGGTCGATCAGTTAACTAAAACCTTAAGTTAGTTAAAAATGGAAATGACTGCTTCTGTACTCCTACCTATCGCTGTGCCAAAGGAGGAATATGGAGAGGTGAGCTGGCCAGCCTGAGGCTCACTCACATAACACTAAACTGTATTGCAGCTGAACAAAGCCATTATGTGCCATAAATATGAGAACATTAAGTGATGTAAACTTGTGGCTGTAATATAACTTCAGTGTCTCAAGCGCGGCCTCATTGATCTGTCAAAAAACCAAAATGAATATCCAGTGTTTGTGGTTAATGAACCTATTTGGAACACTTGTTAGTAAAGATCACATTCTTATGAATTTTAAATGAAAGAATATTAATTTGAAATATATGAATATTTATTCATTTCTTTCTTTGTTCTTAAATGCTGTATTCAAGGTAGAGCCTGCCCAATGTGGCTTACAAAATGTAATTAGTTTGTATTAAATACAGGATAATTTAGATTCATATTCATAACAGATAGAGAGAGGAGTGCCTTGCTGCTGCTGCTGCTGCTTCTCCCTCTGACGGCCTCAGAAGTTGCAGTTGGTAGTTAGACAGAGGGAGAATCTCAGCTGCAGTTGTATCCAACAATATAAAAAGTTGTGATTTTAAACATTCCAGTATAAAAGGGAATACATTCATTTTTAGAACCAAAATAGTTCATCAACAACCCTGGGTAATAAAAACTGGACATTGCACAAGTGTGGTGTGTTCAGTTAAAAACTTGCATGTTTGAAAGGTTGAGGACATGACTGTCAGGTGGAAGGAATCACATATTTTATTTTACTTTATTATGCTTGGCAATAATATTCTGATTAAAAAGGGGAAATAGCTGCTTATTTTAATTGTAGAAGCAACTGTTAAAAAGGCATTTTCCTTTCATCATTTACTTTTTATATGCCCTCAAGATGGAAATTAGGAATTTCCTTAAAATAAATGTGAAGTCAGATTTAGCTTTTATTTAGGGCAATAGGAGAAGGATAGAGATATGAGATTTCTTTGATAGGCATTAATTCATATTTTATCAATTAATCATGCACTTTCCTAAGGCAAGAATTATAACAGAATATATCATCCTGGCTTATTCAACCACTTAGTGTAGCAGAAATGATCATAAGGCACATTTGGATATTCATTGCATAAAGCACTTTATCTGCAGTGATAACAGAAAAATTGCTTATGGTAGCCCTTGTGATAGTGAACAGTTCCAAAATCAGAGAAGTAGTGGAACCTGTAGAAGTTCAACTTCTGCATTTATCCTGCATTTAGCTGGAAAACTAATTTAGAAAAATATGTATGTGCCATAAAAGTAAAAAGAAGGTAATAATAATGAGCTTTAATGGGGGTTATTAATCGATCTCATGAAGTTAAAGGTCTGACTTCATAGTTTCTGCTACATTTGAGGATGGCAAATCTATAGCATCCCTTACACTTGGGACTAAGGTATTCTAGACAGCAGGGCAGGTTGGACAAAGTACTCTTAACATTTTAGAAACCATTACCTTTGAACTTGTCTCTTGCAATCTATTTTCCCTAGTTTGTGTGCATAGCCCAGCAAGATTATTGCCGCATCCTCAACCAAGTGGAGAAAAACATGCAGAAGGTAGAAGAGGAAGGAGAGATTGTTATGGTTAAAGAACATAGGGAATTGGATCGCACTGGAACAAGAAAGGGTCACATTGTTATCAAGGTATATTTTTTATACTATAATATACCTAATAGCAGTTTATCTATTTCTTTCAAACCACAGTCTTTTTTATTTATATCCTAATGTTATACAGATGCTGTCTTTTTTCAGACTTTTTAATGAGAAAAACCACCAAAGAACTATTCTTAATTGCTGTGTATGGTACTTTGTGTAAATCTGGTCCAGTAAATGTATGTGAGACAAAAAAAAAAAAAAAAGGCTCAAGCTGAGATGCATTCATGTGTATTGATATTTGAACATTTACATTTTATAGGGAACGCCGGAAAGGTTGACAATGCATTTGGTGGAAGAACATTCAGTGGTTGATCCAACATTTATCGAGGATTTCCTGTTGACCTACAGGACATTTCTTTCCAGCCCGATGGAAGTGGGGAAGAAGTTATTGGAGTGGTTCAATGATCCTAGCCTCAGGGATAAGGTTGCATTAATAATGACATTCTAAAATATGACCGTATTTTAATATACACTAATTAAACAAATTGTAAAGTGGTATCGGTTAGTTTAATTGGACAACAAAACAGGCAATATCCCCCCCCCCCCCCACTGGAGATAACATTTCTATGGAGGAGAAAAAGAATGTATATAATCTGATTGGCCACCTATGTCTATTTCACTACTTGTAGCAATGCATACAATGAAAAAAAGGTAAAGGACCCCTGACAGTTAAGTCCAGTCGCAAACGACTCTGGGGTTGCAGCGCTCATCTCGCTTTACTGGCCAAGGGAGCTGATGTTTGTCCACAGACAGTTTTTCCGGGTCATGTGGCCAGCATGACTAAGCTGCTGATGGTGAAACCAGAGCAGCGCACGGAAACGCCATTTACCTTCCCGTTGGAGTGGTACCTATTTATCTATTTGCACTTTGATGTGCTTTTGAACTGCTAGGCTGGCAGGAGCTGGGACCGAGGAACGGGAGCTCACCCCGTCGCAGGGATTCAAACCGCTGACCTTCCGATCAGCAAGCCCTAGGCTCAGTGGTTTAGACCACAGCGTTAAATGTACCCATCTTCATCTGGACCTGAAAATCAGTTTTAAAAACTTTTGTTTGTGTTAAGCAGATTAAAGTTTTCACATATGACATTCATGCCTGACTAGATTTTAACCAGATATGTGAAAGAGGTTAAAAAGCTTTAACTGGAGTTAGAAATGAGCAGAGCAGTCCTAGGCCCCAGCTGGAAGCAGCAGAGTGGTGAGTTGACAACCACATTCAGAAACACACAGGATTCTCCTTCAGTGCTCCAAAAGGGAGCTTCACTGAGATTGGCTGGCTTTACTAGGGGGTTCTTCATCAGGAACTCCCTAGTGCAGCTGGTAGGGCTCTCAGCTCTCATCAGCTGTTGGGTGCTGACAGCCACCCTTTGGAATATGTTTGTAAGCGGCTTATATTCAGACCACTAGCAAATGGACTTTCAAGGGGGTAGCTTGTAAACTGATTGGTGCCAAAAACTGGCTTTCAAAGGAGCTTTGTGAGCTCCTTTCAGGTTGTCACCCGACATCATAATGATACCAGGTGATTTACAGGTGGACAGCCCCGCCCACTTGGCCAGTGGGTTGGAGCAAGGAAGGATACAGGTCCAGTTCCTCAGCTGTGCACTAAATTTATGGTGCATAGAATTCAGCATCCTGAAAGATTGTTTCTAGCCTTTAATGGCTATGAAAATAAAGATCTATTGACAGATCCAACAGGGTTATCCAGGGGAGAAGGCAGCAGACCTCTGTGATCTGCAAAGTCCCTTGCTTCTTTCTTTCCATGTTAGGCAAAATATTCCTGTATTGCTGGTACTTGGACTAGATGACCCTTGTGGTCCCTTCCAACTCTACAATTCTAGAATTCTATGTTTGGATGCCTCAATTCATGTTAGGTCTGAGAATTCAAGCAGTTACTTTCAAATTTGTGGCATTGTAGCAGAACAGGGATTTTAGAAACTTGGAGGGTAATGGGTTCTCAACAGCACATTGTCGGAATTTCAGTTCCTGTCAAGGTCTATTTATGGATTCTTTAAACTCACTGTAACGAAAGACTGCATTGAATTTGGTGTTTTGTTAGTGCATAGAAGTGGTAGTTGTATTGATTCCATGTTATTAAAATCTATATAATGAATAGTGGCTTCTGATAGTGACTCAGTTTGCTGACACAGCAGGAGCAAAGTTTTCCTTTTGAACTAAGGTAGCATAGCTAAAAAGCATATTACAGAAACATGCAAAATTGGAAATGGCCTTTAGGCCTTTTTTTAAAAGAAGAAAAAGTAACCCAAATTTATTTTTTAATCCGTTATTTTTGTAAGACAGTTAACTGTTTGGAGCCTATTGCTTCAGAAGCAATTCTTTTTAAATTGCTACCATTTCAACACTATAGTTTCATGTAGAGATATGGTGGTGTTTCTTATTTGCATAGAAGTCCTGCAGTAAAAATGTAGGATACCAGGTTTCTCTTCTCTGAAAAGAAGTACGTGAAGGATTTTGTACAAATGTGAAGCTTTATGTTTAAAACCCAGTTTGTTGCTTTTTCTTTTTTTTAAAATGGTGGACTTCTAGAATTTTTTTTTTTAATGTCACTAGATCAGATACTGAAGTATATGGTGTTGGGGAAATGTCTAAAATAAGAAAGCAGCTGAAAAATAGTTTTCCTTGGGTTTTTAAACTGCATTTATATAAAGAATTTATATTGTTTCTTTCAGGTTACACGGGTAGTATTGTTGTGGGTGAACAATCACTTCAATGATTTTGAGGGAGATTCTGCAATGACTCGTTTTCTGGAAGAATTTGAGAACAATTTAGAAAGAGAGGTATGGATTATTGGCAAAATAAGAGACTTGCTGTCCTACACTGAGGTGACTTTACATCTAACAAATGGCTCTGGATTCTCTCCCTACAGAAAATGGGTGGACATTTGAGGCTGTTAAATATTGCATGTGCTGCTAAAGCTAAACGAAGAATGATAACATTAACAAAGCCATCTCGGGAAGCCCCTTTGCCTTTCTTATTATTGGGAGGATCTGAAAAGGGATTTGGAATCTTTGTTGACAGTGTTGATTCAGGTAGCAAAGCCACTGAAGCAGGCTTGAAACGTGGTGATCAGGTATGTAAATTAAATTTCATCAAGGTTTTTCTTGGAATGCCAAGAGTTGTAGTGGAGACTCCTCATCATTATGAATTGCCAGGATTCAATCCTTTTGTTCCTCTTTCTAGATATTGGAGGTAAATGGCCAAAATTTTGAAAACATTCAGCTGTCTAAAGCCATGGAAATTCTTCGAAATAACACACATTTGTCTATCACTGTGAAAACTAACTTATTTGGTAAGTTTAAAGCCATAGGTTTAAGTGTAACTTTTATTATAATGCAATAGTTTTAGAATTGTGTTGCGATGAGACCAGGAGTACCCTCACCAGGATGTCCTTAAAAGCACAAAGACAGCTTGTTCACTACTTGCCAACTTTTTCTGCAATGCACAACCATAGATGAGTATTGACCATGTTTTATGGTGCATTCCCGAACACATCTTAAAATTGTGCAGAACAGAATTTCCACAGGTAAGGTTGATGTGGAAAAAGATTCACTGAGGGTAGAAAGCAAGACATCCACACTTGCAATAAATGTTTCAGTCTTCATAGTTACTGCTTTATAAGAACAAAATGTGCAAATATTATAATATTTTATAACAATGCAAAAAACTGATAAAAAATCATAAGAAGAAATGGAATCTATTTGCTGTCCAACTTAGTTCAGTGGGGTTTACTTCCTCTTAAGTGGGAACTGTAACCTTAAATTACAAATGTTCCCTTTCGAAGTTTAGGAAAGATTAAGGTCAGAAAAGACTATTGCAGTAATGAAATTTAACTTCATACATAACATAATATGTATGTTTGCATAATGTTTCTAAAGTAACTACAGCCAAGACCCTTAGTGTGAAATGATTTTGGAAGCAGTGTAAAGTTACTAAAACTGTTTGTTAAACAGTTTGTACTAAAACTGTAAGTTAAATTCTTAGAGGCCTTTGTACCTCGCAGCATTCCTCTGAATATGTTGAGACAACTTGCATAACTATTGTGTTATGGCTTTCCTAGACGTGCCGCTGTAGGATTTTAGTTGACCTTCTGGAAGGAAATATGCCATAGCTTTTTTCTTGTTTCAGACATAAACGTGCCCTTGCTCTTTAGCTGTGTATGGATTTTTAAACTCTCTTTATTAGGTATAAGGTGAACAACTTATTTTGAGGCTTAATTCTATGCCCAGGAATAGATTTTTAGAAGTATCGTTAAGAACAAGCATGGATTCTATTCAAATGTGAAATGCCACTTTGCTTTTCATAGCCTGTGCAAGAAGGGTATGATGTATTTCTTTTGAGTTTATTTTTCTATGTGTTTTCCGTCTTCTGTGCAGTTTTTAAAGAACTTCTAACAAGATTGTCAGAGGAGAAAAGAAACGGCGCTCCTCATCTTCCTAAAATTGGTGATATTAAAAAAGCAAGCCGTTATTCCATACCAGATCTTGGAGTTGACGTCGAGCAGGTGATAGGATTGGAAAAAGTAACCAAGAAGAGCAAAGCCAACACTGTTGGTGGGCGAAACAAGCTCAAGAAGATACTAGACAAAACCCGCATCAGTATCCTGCCTCAGAAACCATACAAGTGAGTGTGATGCACAGCACCGCAGAGTGATTTCCATTATGTCAACTCAGTCTATAGTTTTATTGTATTGGTTATTGCCTTGAAATCTGCATCAGTATTAGAATTGTTTCTAAGATGTTTTATTGTTTTATCTCTTGTTGTTTGTTGCCCTAGGCTCCATTGAGAGGAAGAGCAGGATATAAATTTAATAAATAATACCATTACCCAATAGCCAGTTGAACCTCTGTGTAGAAATGGTTCATGAAGAATAAAATAAATATATCAACATTTCTTTTCCAAAAAAAGGGGGCATGGCTGCTGGAAATTTTATCACATACTTTCATGTATTCTGCATACATTAAAAACAAAATCCTGAGCTTTATTTATAATCAACATTTAGGTGTAACAGTTCCAATCTTGCTGGTACCTTACTAGTGAATATGGCTTTGGTTAAAACTTCCTGTTGTGTAAGTTTGCCAAAGCAATGCTTATACTTTAAAAATCTGTAAGATGAATGGCTTATGTGGAAATCAGAAATACAGGGGGAAATAAAGAAATATAGGTCACGATAATATAAAAGCACTAAATTTGTTTTCCCCATCGTCATAGCGATATTGGAATTGGCCAATCTCAGGATGACAGCATTGTGGGATTGAGGCAGACCAAGCACATTCCTCCTGCTCTGCCGGTCAGTGGAACTCTGTCTTCAAGCAATCCTGACTTAATGCAGTCACATCACCGCATCTTAGATTTCAACACAACCCCAGGTGAGCCTCAAATTTTGATGGGTGTCCTTTGGTCTACTTCTGATAGGTGTAAGTGGGTACAAAAACTATGTTCCTCGAGTTGGGATTTCCATGTCTGCTTTACATAAAAATACTTCTTCTTTTTTAGGACACATAAATAGTCTGATCTACTGAAAAACTCTGTAATACATTTGTACCATTATTATTAGTTAGCACTTATTTATCATTGTCACTGTGCAAAGAGTGAGGGCATGCAAACCAATGTTAAAAGGACTGGGATAATGGAAATGGATGTAGTTGTCCCTGGAACCTGAAAATAGCTGAGAAACAGCCAAAACTAAGTAGAACAATTCAAGGTAGAAATTCTGAATGACTATGTCTTGGGGTGTAGATATGAAGACAGGAAAATGATTTTCTCCAAACATGGAGTTAGGAGACCGATAAGGAGACACATGTGGTCAATAAGCTTCACATTTAATGAAAGGCCTGGAAGATATGTGGGCATATAGATTCTCAGAAGCAGAGAGATTCAGTATTAGTGAACAGTATACAAAGTATTGCTTATTTATAAACAGGAGAAATGAAGTAACTATTATTGTGTGATATTACTTTGTTGATGGTTACATACTAGTATTATTATTTTATCTATTGAAAACCCTTTTTATACCACCTGTCATAAAAATATACATACCGGGACAGTTTACAACCAAATAAAATGGTACCAGCTCATTAAAATCACTTCCAATATACACTGCTAGGCATTTTTCTTTCTGATGTTTGTTTTTGAATTGGCTTCTTGTACTCTATTTATTTAACATTAACGTATAATGCTCCCTTGAGGGCTTTAAAGAAAGTTGGGCAATAATCTTAAGCCACAATGCATACTTGAAGCTTCAGAAAATGTACAGTCTCAATAGTTTTCTTGTTACTTTGGACTGTGTTGGAGATGGGGGAGGCATTCAGGAAATCGAATGTACTAGAGCAGAAAGAATTCAACCTGTCAGAATTGCTGTTCCGTAGAGCTTGGAGGAGCCGAGTAGTGCTTAGGGAGGGGAAAAAAATGCTTGCTGTGTTAAGTGGATTTGTAAATCAACATTTTAGTATGGGGATGTTCATGGCAAAAGAGATCATGAACTTGCAATTACATTTTCCTATGCAATTGTTCTGTAAGTTGAAAAAGTCAAACCCAAGCTTTGATATCCTTTTCAGTGTCTTGCCAGACTGGCATTTTAAACCAGAGAATAGATGACTGCCTTGCCTTTTTCTATTTCAGCCTTGCTGTAAGCTTCAGGTTGCAACCTTATGTAAGATGTTTACTAGAGGTTACATTTTCCTTAGTTGAATTTGTTAAGAGGAAATGTGCAGTTCAGGTAGAAGGGCCTTTACAAATTAGTTGAGCAAAGGTTTAATATATTAAGATATAAAGAGGTTCACACACCTACAAGTGCAACCATAAAGGTAAAGGTAAAGGTACCCCTGCCCGTACGGGCCAGTCTTGACAGACTCTAGGGTTGTGCGCTCATCTCACTCTAGAGGCCGGGAGCCAGCGCTGTCCGCAGACACTTCCGGGTCACGTGGCCAGTGTGACAAAGCTGCTCTGGCAAGCCAGCGCAGCACACACGGAAACGCCGTTTACCTTCCCGCTAGTAAGCGGTCCCTATTTATCTATTTGCACCCGGGGGTGCTTTTGAACTGCTAGGTTGGCAGGCGCTGGAACCGAGCAGCGGGAGCGCACCCCGCCGCGGGGATTCGAACCGCGGACCATGCGATCGGCAAGTCCTAGGCGCTGAGGTTTTACCCACAGCGCCACCCGCGTCCCACAGTGCAACCATACATGTCAAATATTCCATCTCAGTCTTACAGGGAAGCCACTTGGAGGAAAGCAATTCCCAGCAGACCTCAAATATACCCTAATCTGCACTTAAATTTCACAGTGGGTGGAGATGTAGCTGTGATGCATCTGGAGTTAGGAAGAAAAAGGAAGAGAACTGGTAGAAATGGTAACCAGTGATTTGGTAACATTTCTACAGAACCATGGGGGAGGTACTGAAGATGAAGTAGGGGAGGATAAGCGAGAGCAGGCAAGGACGTGAACGGGTACAATGTGGTTTTATCCCTTGTTGCTGGGGAATAGAGTTGATTGTGTGATGAGGTTTGTTTATTAGTGCAGAAACCAGCAAGAAAAGAGCGGGTGAGACGGCTGAACATTGCTCTCTTCATACAGCCTACTGTTCTCGTTCACACAATAGGTAGGAGGCAAAAACAACAGAAACTGCCAGCTTCATTTCAACAAAAGGCAGCTGTGGGTTTTGTGTGTGTGTGTCTGGCTTTGCAAAACATGGACCCCCCCCCCCCCGTAGGTGAAAAGAGCAGGGGAATAAGGGACTTTATCTGGGGCGAGGGTTAAATCTGTACCCATACTTTACATCATACTACATTTTTATGATTTCTAGTGCTACGTTTTTTATTTGAGATTAACAGCAATAAGTAAAAATAAACTTTCTTATGGCATCCATCATATCTCCAATATAAACCTCTCCCCTTTTGTTGTTTCTTGTTTGAATTGTTTCATTTTTCTTGATTGCCGTTGTCAATCACTCAACGTATACAGTATTTTAAGAGGAAGGAAAGGAAGGAAACTGATTTTGTGTGTGTTGATAGATGAATAACTGATAAAAACCTGATGACACAACCTTTTCTTGATTGTTTACATAATTACTTCAAAAAACAGAGTTTTGAAGAAACATTAAAAGTTATTGGTTGACCTGGACACCTTTCTTTCAGTTTGAAACAATAACATTTGATAAGCGCTAAGAAATAAAGGTCCATCACCACCCAGTCATCAGGAGATTATATAGCAAGCTAAAAAATTGGGGCCATACAGGCACTAATGAGTATTTAGAGTGTCTTGTAAGGCAACTATTGAGGCAGGCATACTTTGGTTTATAAGCTCATAATGACTTAAAATGAAGGTTACTTAATCACTCATGCCCTCTCCTATTTGAAGTTGGCTTGGTTCAGTATACTATGGTTAATAAAAAAATACAGTTTGTAATTTTATATTTTCTATTTTCATGTCCCCATTGGAATGGAGGGAGGGACAAGCTTGAGATTCATTCATTTAAGAATAAACTGCAATTTAGTAGCATGTCAGTATGCAGTCAGTAGTATCAAAGCTGAATGCACTGATTATATACTTTGTGGTTAGCAATTTATAAACGTTTACGGCACAAAGCCAACATGTTGATCCATTTTGCTTTGCTTGGAAATGACTTCTGATCATTGGCAGAAAAAAGAATGATGATCCAAAAGAAGGATCGTGACTAGAACAGTTTCACAGGAGCAAGATGGCAACTAAAGAAAATTGTGTATCTGTTCCTATTCAGATACTGACTGAAAAATAAATAATTTTACTCTATTATATGGTTTATATGCTGTAATAGGATTTCCCCCTTCCTTACAGATTTACCAGACCAGGTTCTGAGGGTTTTTAAGGCAGACCAACAAAGCCGCTACATTATGATCAGTAAGGACACAACTGCAAAGGAAGTGGTTATTCAAGCAATCCGAGAGTTTGCTCTAACCACCACCCCAGATGCATATTCTTTATGTGAAGTTTCAGTCACTCCAGAGGGAGTAATCAAGCAAAGGAGGCTTCCAGATCAGCTTTCCAAGCTTGCTGACAGAATACAGCTTAGTGGAAGGTGAGACTCATACACCATCTGCCATTTCAGAATATAATTGAATGTACTTCTTAAATATACTGATTTTTAAATTCTAAACAAGCTACCTTTGCTTTCCATTACTATTAGTGTTTTCATTTCTATAAAACTTTATTCCCTCTTCCCCCCTCTCCCAGGTATTATCTGAAGAACAACATGGAGACAGAAACCTTGTGTTCAGATGAAGATGCTCAGGAATTGCTGAGAGAGAGTCAAATTTCTTTATTGCAACTCAGTACTGTTGAGGTGGCAACCCAACTCTCTATGCGTAACTTTGAACTGTTCCGTAACATTGAACCTACAGAATACATAGATGACTTGTTTAAACTGAAATCTAAGTCTAGCTGTACTAACTTGAAAAAGTTTGAAGAAGTAATAAACCAAGAAACCTTTTGGGTGGCATCTGAGATTCTGCGAGAAACCAACCAGCTGAAAAGGATGAAGATAATTAAGCACTTCATTAAGATAGCATTGCACTGCAGGGAATGCAAGAACTTCAACTCCATGTTTGCAATAATAAGGTAAACAAGACTAGATCACCCCCCCCCCAATGATTTTGCATACAGTTTATAAGAAATAAAGTGTAAATAGATGCTTCATAATGATGATACTAAATTTTAAGAAAAATACTATGTGTACATTTTACTGTTTTATGAATTAGTAATTTAATACTACAACAGTAATATTTCATTAACTTAACAGTCCTCAGCAGCAGCTTTAGACAAAATCCTAATCCAAAAAGAGCAAGACTGGTTGAAAGGCTAGAGGATTCTTCCATGAAAAGCTGTTTAAATTAGCATTGCAAGCTTGTCATTGCTAACATCATAATGATATATCTGATGAAAGTAGACTCTACTCCAGGATCACGTGTGTCATTATAAATGTATTAGTCTTTGTTGTGTTTGTCATTTTTATAAGCATTTGTTATCTCTAGAAATCAAAATATCCTTTGGAACAGACTTGGAAAAAGCAAAATTACAAAAGAAGTCATTTATCTATCTCTGTTTCCACTTAGTATGCAACCATGGAGTATGTTTTATGTGTGAAAGACTGCACACAGTCCTGTATAAATCCAATTCATTTAGTATTATTTAAAAGGTTTGCATGTTGGCATGCAAAATCCCACAGTGCTACATAGGTTTTTAATTTAATGCAGTAGAAGCTAATTGTTAGACTGTTGGTGGTACAAGGCAGCCTTAAATCTTTGGTTCTCCTCCTTCCTACCCCCACAGAAAGTACACTTCTGAATTTTCCAGTTACCTTCCTTTTGAAAGGGTGGTTTCAAAACAGATTGTCACTTTGTATGAAGCACATTTGGTTGTTGTTTAGGCCTCATGTGTGCCTGCTATTCAGCTTTTGAATGCAATTGCAATCCCTAGACTGTATTTGAAGGCTTCCTTGGTAAGGAAACCTTTGCTTTGTTGCATTTATTAGCATTTTCAGAAAGTATTGATAGCATTGGTCTTGACATATTACCATTTGCAACTAGCAGGCGATGTAGAGGGACCTCTGGGACGATGCAACAGCACTCTCCCTCCCTGGCACTGCTGTGCCAGCCCTCAGTTTCCCTTCCCTCAGGTGAATTCCCCCAATAGAGAATGAATCACGAGCGACAGTGGGGGTTTTTTGGGGGAAAACAGGTTGCAAACAAACTTTATTATAACAGATGTAAACAAGGAGTTTTTGGTTCTTTTTCTTCCACAGAAATGTATCAGACAGTGAGGTTATTCACAGCACAGTGCTGTTGCTTTTTATTAAAACGTATACTGTTTCAAGTTATAGGCTGTATGCTGTTGAGGCTTAAGGTTACTTTCTTTTACACACCTTTCATAGATCAGACTTTTCCACACACACTTCAGGAATTTAGGATTTTAACTGGACTGTTTCCTTACAGACCCCCAAATCCTCTTTGGCCTGGGAAATCACTTTCATGTCAGAGTACCGTATTTTTCGCACTATAGGACGCACTTTTTCCCCTCCAAAAATGAAGGGGAAATGTGTGTGCGTCCTATGGTGCGAATTCAGGCTTTTGCTGAAGCCTGGAGAGCGAGAGGGGTCCGTGCGCACCGACCCCTCTCGCTCTCCAGGCTTCAGGAAGCTATCCCAAGTCTTGCAAGCCCGGCGGGATGTCCCGCGGGCTCGCAAGGCTTGCGGGCAGCAGCCTGCACCCAAAAGCTGGGGACAGCGGGGAGGCGCAGAGCTGCCACCCCGCTATTCCCCGACCTGATCTGGAGGCTGGCGGGGGGAGAAGCAAGCCTGCTTCTCCCCCCCCAGCCCCACAAGCTCGGGGGATAGGGGGATGGCGAAGCGCCGCCATCCCGCTATTCCCCGACCTGATCTGGAGGCTGGGGGTGGGAGAAGCAAGCCTGCTTCTCCCCCCCACCATCCCCACAACCTCCAGATCAGGTCGGGGAATAGCGGGATGGCGGCGCTCCGCCATCCCGCTATTCCCCGACCTGATCTGGAGGCTGGGGGTGGGAGAAGCAAGCCTGCTTCTCCCCCCCCCAGCCCCACAACCTCCAGATCGGGTCGTGGAATAGCGGGATGGCGGCGCTCCGCCATCCCGCTATTCCCCGACCTGAACTGGAGCCTGGGGGCGGGAGAAGCAAGCCTGCTTCTCCCCCCCCCAGCCCCACAACCTCCAGATCAGGTCGTGGAATAGCGGGATGGCGGTGCTCCGCCATCCCGCTATTCCCCGACCTGATCTGGAGGCTGGGGGTGGGAGAAGCAAGCCTGCTTCTCCCCCCCCCCAGCCCCACAACCTCCAGATCAGGTCGTGGAATAGCGGGATGGCGGCACTCCGCCATCCCGCTATTCCCCGACCTGATCTGGAGGCTGGGGGTGGGAGAAGCAAGCCTGCTTCTCCCCCCCCCCCAGCCCCACAACCTCCAGATAGGGTCGTGGAATAGCGGGATGGCGGCGCTCCGCCATCCCGCTATTCCCCGACCTGAACTGGAGGCTGGGGGTGGGAGAAGCAAGCCTGCTTCTCCCCCCCCCCAGCCCCACAACCTCCAGATCAGGTCGGGAAATAGCGGGATGGCGGCGCTCCGCCATCCCGCTATTCCCCAACCTGATCTGGAGGCTGGGGGTGGGAGAAGCAAGCCTGCTTCTCCCCCCCCCAGCCCCACAACCTCCAGATCGGGTCGTGGAATAGCGGGATGGCGGCGCTCCGCCATCCCGCTATTCCCCGACCTGAACTGGAGCCTGGGGGCGGGAGAAGCAAGCCTGCTTCTCCCCCCCCCCAGCCCCACAACCTCCAGATCAGGTCGTGGAATAGCGGGATGGCGGTGCTCCGCCATCCCGCTATTCCCCGACCTGATCTGGAGGCTGGGGGTGGGAGAAGCAAGCCTGCTTCTCCCCCCCACCAGCCCCACAACCTCCAGGCTTCAGGAGAGCCCCACCGCCAGCCCCACAAGCTCGGGGGACAGCGGGAGAGGCGCAGCGCGCCCTTCCCGCTGTCCCCCGACTTGGCTAGAAGGCTGGCGGGGGGAGAAGCCTGCTCCTCCCCGTCGCCAGCCCCGCAAACTCGGGGGACAGCGGGAGAGGCGCAGCGCGCCTTTCCCGCTGACCCCCGACTTGGCTAGAAGGCTGGCGGGGGGAGAAGCCTGCTCCTCCCCGTTGCCAGCCCCGCAAACTCGGGGGACAGCGGGAGAGGCGCAGCGCGCCTTTCCCGCTGTCCCCCGACTTGTCTAGAAGGCTGGCGGGGGGAGAAGCCTGCTCCTCCCCGTTGCCAGCCCCGCAAACTCGGGAGACAGCGGCAGGGGCGCAGCGCGCCCTTCCCGCTGTCCCCCGACTTGGTTAGAAGGCTGGCCCAGCCCCGCAAACTCGGGGGACAGCGGGAGAGGCGCAGCGCGCCATCCCGCTGTCTCCCGACATGGTTTGGAGGCTGGCGGAAGGCTTCCTCCTCCCCCAGCCCCGCAAGCTCCCAGAGCGATGCCAAAGCTGCGTGCAGCTTCGGCATGGCTCTGGGTCCCGTTCTGGGGGAGGGGGAAGCTCGGGCTTCCCCGCCCCAGCCCCGCGCCTGGCGGGGGGGGGAATAATTTTTTTTTGCCTTTATTCCCCCCCCCCCCAAATCTAGGTGCGTCCTATGGACCGGTGCGTCCAATAGTCCGAAAAATACGGTATTTCCTCTGAGGACCCTTTTTCCTGTAAACACCATGGGAGACTGTGCCTTTTCTATTTTAACAGTGTTCTGCGATTCAGAACCTTAGAGCATATACTGAGAATTCTCGGCTCTCCTCAGCTCTACCACCTGTCAGAACGAACACTCCAGACAGAATCTCCCTCACAGACCTAATCCCTCTCTCAAGCACTCTTCACTCCACAACTTCATGCCATTTCTACTAAACCTTCCTGTAGTCTGATATGTGAACATAGGCAAGATAGGGATTTTTAATCAGTACACTCAGGATGCCCACTTTTCTTACAGTGCTGATGCTCCTTTGGCTTTTCACTATGGGTGACAGTGATTTCGGAAAGTTATACTTAGCATCAATTTAGAAAAGACTGGGCATGGAACACCATGTGATTTGGGGGCATTATTGATAGAGTTCCAACCCAAGAATTCTTTTAACCAATTCAAATTAAAATAAGTTACATTGCCTGCATGGATTTGAGACTGGTCACTTTCATGCCTTGTTAAATTTCATGCCTCTGTGTTAAATTACTGTAACTTATTCTGCTAATATACTTGATGAAACTTGATTTGGGGATCAAAGGTGGTCAATAATCTCAGGCACCAGTGCTCCAGATAAAAAATAATTAATGAAAAGGGAAACTAATACTTGTTGTGAAGAGCAGTAAGATTAGGGCAGCTGAGAGAGAAAAGTAGATTTGACAGTTGGTGGCCTCTGTAAAAATTTGTTTGCAGCTCTAAAACATTTAACGTTAGGATCACTGAATTCAGACATTTTTGTTGACCATTTCAACTGACTATGGAAAGCAAGGCTGAATGTCAGATATCTATGTCTCGGACAACAGAGGGCTTTTATAATCAATATCACCAGTGCATCCAAATGAGCTGGTTATGTCTCTTCTAAACCTCTGGTAATAACATGCTTCTTTTGCTAGTATACTAAGGGAATGACTCACAGCATTTTACAGCTGCAGTTTCTGAATAGACTTTACTGTATTACTCATTACAATACTTCCATCTGGCAGTAACAAACACTTACTGATCATCATAGCCACATCTTTGCACTAAAAATGGTCCTTGTTTATAGAAGTGTCTGTTGCTCCAACAGTGTTTGGAAAACAATGTTGTAATAGATCTGAGAACACTTTTGGTAAGACAGGAAAGCCATACCACTGCTACCATAATCTTTTGATGATTCTTCAACTCACAAATATTGCTTGAACATTGCAGTTCAGAAAAGACATACAATTTTATGGTGCATAATCTCTGAAAGCAGTGTTTTTGTTTACCAGTGTCTATATTTGTCAGTTGCTAAATATGATATGATATGATATGATATGCATTTAGTTTTACTTCACAAAATTGTATACAAGAACATATGTTTGTGATGCTGCAAATGCAGGTGTCATTTTGCACAGAGATTAAAACCCTCAACATCTTTTAAAATTCATTCTTTAGTGGCCTAAACTTAGCTCCAGTTGCAAGACTACGAACTACTTGGGAAAAACTTCCAAGCAAATATGAAAAATTGTTTCAAGATCTTCAGGATTTATTTGATCCATCTAGGAACATGGCAAAATATCGCAATGTCCTGAATAGCCAAAATCTACAGCCTCCTATTATTCCATTGTTCCCTGTAATCAAAAAGGACCTTACGTTCCTCCATGAAGGTAAATGTTGCAAGTGTTTTTTCTGCATTGACCCTTTGGTGATGGCAACACGTGTGTTTTTACTTTCACTGACCAATGGCAGAGTACTATAGTTATTTCCTATCATTCTTTTGGCAATGTAGGGAATGATTCCAAAGTGGAAGGTTTGGTCAATTTTGAGAAATTACGAATGATCGCAAAAGAGATTCGCCATGTGGGTCGAATGGCTTCTGTTAACATGGATCCTGCTTTAATGTTCAGGACTAGGTGAGTTCTTTTGACCAAAGACTAACGCACTAGAAGTGTGAAATAAAAACCATTGAGCTAAGATTGTCTTGTGTTACAGATACATACTTTAAACTTGGCTAGTGTTTAATGCTTGCATTCAGAGAACAAGGGTAAGACATAGAATTGTCTTTATTTCTCCAGCTAATTAGCTGCAAGTTATTTGACAGCAATCAGATATTCTCTTTATATATCAGCCTGAAAGTAAGCAGTTGTCTTTTCATCAAGAAGAGTAACACATTTAATCTGTGTTGTCCTCTTGATATCTACGCCAAGCTTCCTAAAGTTCATGAAAATGAGCGTTGCCCAATCATAGCAAGTAGACCCTGCTTGCTTTTTACCCAGAATTTGATTCTTCCTCACCATTCTACGCAACACTTTTTCTTACAATGGTTTTGTTTGATTTCTACATATGTGCATTCATGAAGGATATTCTCCTATTACAAATATACTGCTAACACAAATGAATTCAGACACAAACATACATGAGATTTGTTTTGATCTTAGATATGTATTCTGTTCTTGCATCACAAGTTATTTGGGCTTTTGTGCCAATAGTGAGTTCTAAATAAGATCACCATGTTTCCTTTTAAACTCATATGAACACATAGGAGGCTGCCTTATACTGAGTTAGAGCATTGGTCTATCAAGCTTAGAACTGCCTACACTGACCAGCAGTGGCTGTCCAGTATTTTAGGCAGGGCTCTCTTCCCAACCCTGCCTGTCAATGCCAAGGATTGAACCTGGGGCTTTCTGCATGCAAAGCAGATGATCTACCACTGAGCTACAGCCCTTTCCCCAAAAAGCAATTAACAAGAAAAGCAGTTCAAGAGTTCAGTGTTGAAGACTGCTTCAGAAATCTCATAGTATAACTTAAACTATTATAATAATTATGACGTATACACTTGCTAGACTGAAGCCATTGTTTTGCAAGTTTTGAGTTTTAAGAAATATTTAAGTAATACATTTCCCCTCTTGTCTGGTCTGTAATTATAATGTTGTGCAAATTAACTGATTCACAGGGGTGGGTAAGTGTTGCAACCAATCAATGCCCCCATCAGGAAAAGGCAGTACAGATGGAAATGGCTCTTGCCTGTCATTGCGTAATTTATGTTACATTCATTGTTTAAAGGTCATGGAGAACAAGAGAAATAATAGATATTTAATCACTAGTCTTATTCTTACGTAGATAAAATAGATATAAGCAGAGTTTGCATTGAATCAGTTGGGATAGTTAAAATATCCCCTTTGGTTCAATGTATAGGAAATGCATATTGAATGAATAAATGTTTTTAAAGGAAATTATATTATGTGAAAGCTGAAAAGCAGAAAGAGGATAGAAACAAAATTCACTCCAGATTTTAGAACACTATTTTACGCTAAAGGTGTAAGTAATCCAAGGTGAATTCAGTTTAGTGTGAAATGAGCTTTAATCTTATGGGCACTCTATAGACACCTATTTAATGTATTATGCTGACTGACTGAGAGAAGGCTGTTCTGGGCTTTCTGGTACTGCTTGTCCTGAAGTCTGATCCTTTCTTTCTGAGCTTATAATCTCTCTGTCTCTTCCTTAAATCCATGCTTCAATACTCATGGCTCTCACTTGCAGGAAGAAGAAGTGGAGGAGTTTGGGGTAAGTGGTTGGAGAGAACACATACAGACAAACTTCCTTTTCTGAAAATCTGCATTGTTTCCTACCTGCTTCCCTTAATTTTCTGGTGCTCTGGCATTTTCCTCCTTTTGTTAACCCTTCTGTACCTGCATCAGATTTAATCCAGTGCTGCTTTTGCTTGAGGTTATAAACCCAAGAGCTGTGAAACTTTAAAGAAGTGCAGTGAGATTCATTGGTTTGATCTAGAATTCATAAAATTGCCTCATATATGTTAGGGATAATGTGAGTTGAGTGGACATAATTTGTCCATGCAAAAGAATTTTCTATGTGGTCTTACGGAATGAGCATATCTCAACAACATTTTGTATATTATCCAGTAAGTATACATATTCTCTAGCAGACCTCAAGGAATGTGCATATCATGACAGGTTTCCCCCCCACATTCTTTGGGCAATATTCACACAGAATTCACAGGGGACACCATTATTCCCACGCAAGCACTACATACATACATACATACATACATACATACAACAATGTATGTGTTTGGATGCATAAGAGTGTAAGGTGTGAGGAATAAAGTGTGGGTGGTTCTTGTTCTCTCTCTCTCTCTCTCTCTCTCTCTCTCTCTCTCTCACACACACACACACACACACACACACACACACCCTCTGCTTCTACCTGTCTTTCCATCCTGCATAAAGACACTGGGAATGTCTGTGTGAATGAATTCACACATACATCCCTCAGCTCCCAGTTCATCTATTTGCATACACTCAGCTCCCATGTATCCATTAACATCGCTGAACAGTGGGGAAACAGCTGGGTTGTGGAGAAGAGATGCCAGAGTCAGTTGGTTGTGCAGAACAGCTGAGCGGCATGGAAGAGGGCATACTCTTGTAGAGTATGCCTAGTGACAGGAGAATGTGCATATTGCTCAAAGAATGTAAAAAATGATGCTGAGATATGCATGTTTTAGAGAGTATGCATATCGGTCTAGGAAATATGCACAATTTTATCTTTATGGACAGTTGAGGTGCACATTCTCCATGAGTCATGATGAATGTGCACAATGGCTGGCTGTTATGCAGATTAGCCTCTCAGCTTGCATTATCCCTAACATATGTACATATATAACCAGTCTCAATGGGAACAGTATACCAAAATGGGGTTACGTGATGGTGGTTCAGATAAAAATAAGCAGTAAATTTATACGTCACACAAGTTAATAGAACCATCCAAATCCACAAATTTTATTACAATGTTGTGATTTTTAACAGCTCAACTAACTAAATTTTCTTTCTACAAACCAGCCTTCATTATTGCTGTTAACATATTGGAAGCAAAATAGCTCCCATACATAAACACATCCAAATTTGCATGCTTCCTCATTAACTAATTGAACGTTTTTATTTAACATGAAGTCCTATTAAGGCGAGGGAAGTGGGGAATGAAAATGCAGTAGACTTTTTGTCACATTGCAGATGGAATTAAGTGTTTTAATAGAGGCACCTGAAAAGTACAAAGTGGACATTTCCTGCCTGATTTTGAGAGTAGTGGATTTTGAGTTTCAGGAGGCTTGACCACTGTTTACTGGTCTGAGACACCTTGTTGCATGAGCCTGCCTTAATATTTCTGTCCTTGTAATACTCAAGGCTACTGAGAGAGAGTTTAACCATTTTCCCAATGACATGGAATTTCATACTTGGAGCAGAGTAATTCTCAGGGGCTGACTTTAATGAATCCATATTCACAATTGCAACTGATTGTTGTTCTTTATTTTTATCCTTTTCCTATTGTAGCTGTATGACTTACTTGAATGAGGCATGTAAGCTTTGACCATAGACTGACATTCATGCAGACCTTTGCATGTTTCAAGTCATTGAAGGATGCAGCGATGAGCTAAGTTACATGTCATCTTGTCTTTCTTCCAGGTCTCTCAGTCAAGGCAGTACAAATGCAGCAGTCCTTGATGTTGCACAAACAGGTGGTCATAAAAAGCGGGTCCGCCGCAGCTCCTTCCTCAATGCCAAAAAGCTATATGAAGATGCTCAGATGGCTCGGAAAGTCAAGCAGTATCTCTCCAATTTGGATCTGGAAATGGATGAAGAGAGCCTTCAGGCACTCTCTCTACAATGTGAACCAGCCAGCAATACATGTGAGCATTTTTCTTAGTTGGGTGTGCACCTCAGTCATGGCAAATGAGCTGTTAATTTATCTTTATTTAGCCTACAGCTTAACTGTCCCTCAGGCTTAGGCTTGGCCACAGCATCATTGAGAGAAGTATGTGTTTCTAATCAAGCTGATCGCTAGAAAACAAGTTATTCCATGCCATTGCAAATTGTAGACAATATTACAGTTGGCATATGTGGTACTTGTTTCTTAAATGGCATACATTACCTAATTGGCTCTCCAACTGCTGATTAGGGCATCATTTTACTATAGTTTGTGGTAGTATATTACAGCTGAATAAGAGGACTAAAAATTTCCAAGGTTTTTCAAGAAGGTTTTTCAAGGTTTCTCTTTTCCATCATTGATCATTCTTCCGGACACCGTTTAATATAAAATCAAGTACTCTTGAGGTAGTCTTAACTGTAATCTTAATTCTACTTTTTATTTAAAGTACCCAAGACTCCAGGGGAAAAACGGTCTGGAAAACCTGAAACATCCCCAGTCGCACATAGGTCAGGGATCCAGCAGAAAGTGCAGCAGCAACAGCAGCACAAAGCAAACCAAGCACTGCAGGTCCCTGCTGTATCACTGTATCCCTCTCGTAAGAAAGTACCAGTCAAAGACCTTCCACCCTTTGGTAAGTATTGCGGATTGTTCTGTTCAGTAGAAAAACAATTTTAGATTAAAAATGGTTAAATTCTCAAGAGCATTAAAAAAAACCAATGTTTTCAAATTACTAGCGGAAGTTCCATGTTTCAGGATTGTATTTTCACAAATGACAGGTAGGCATCTTGAGCAACTGCAAACAAAGGTGGGGAAAACACAGGTTCTAATACATTGTTATTACTGTTGTGTTTTGGAAATGGAAGATTCAGTTTAAAAGTGTAACAGAATCAATGTTAGAGATCACACGAAAGTCTCATCTGTAGTTTGCATTTAACGCAGTATCATCCCACTTTAAAAAGTCATTCCTCCCCCAAAGAATCCTGGGAACTGTAGTGTACTAAGGGAGTTGACAGTTGCTAGAGAGCCCCTCCTCCCCACCTCTGACTCTAGTCCCCACCAATCTTCCTCTTCTTCCTATGTTGGGGCCTGCTAATGCAAGCCCAGTCTTGACAGCACCAGTGGATGACATCCTCTGCACATTTTTACACCTATCCAATTTTAACCTGGTTCCTGATATAGTGATCAATGTCTTTTGAGTCTATATTTTCTTTAACTCTATTTTTCATTTATACTTACTTTGAAGACCTAGAGTTTATATATATATAACACCATGGAATCAGTGAAGTAGCCATTTACCTTCTAAATTTAATGGCACTTCAGACATGTTTAAGCTGCAGGTTTCTGTCTCAGTTACAGGCCTGAGGGAGGGGATAACCTGGGATACTAGCTGTAGTCCATGTTTTTCCATGAATGGCTGAAAACTAAGAACCAAACACATTTTCCAAGTGAATGTAAAACAGAAACATTGGTCTAATCCACATTTTACTTGGGCTGAATAGTTATGTTTAAATTTGTTTTTATTAATTGCATATAATTTTCTTAGAATAAATTGTACGTTGGTGTGGAGTAGTGGCTGGAGTGACTTAGCTTTAAATCCCCATTAAGCATATTCTCTCAGCATAACCTTACTGGGGGGTTGTGATAATAAATGTGGGTGTGTAATGTACACTGCCCTCAGATCTGCAAAAGAAGGGTGGGCTAAAATATCATAGTAATGGTAGTATCAGTGGTCCACGGAATGGCCTCATTTGAATACGCAAGAAAAAGTGCATGCATTTATATCAGATGTGTTACTTATTCTTTATTGAAGGCATAAACTCTCCACAAGCTTTAAAGAAAATTCTTTCACTCTCTGAAGAGGGAAGCTTGGATCGTCATAAGAAACAAGCAGAAGACACAATTTCAAATGCGTCTTCACAGTTATCTTCTCCTCCCACCTCGCCACAGAGCTCTCCAAGGAAAAGTATGCCAGGGTCTAAATATTACTCACCTCTCACAAGTTCTCTCTTGCAATTGCTAGTGATAACTGTTTAAACCTAGTTAAGATGCCAAATATGTAGTCAGTTGTGGTTTAGCATGGGCAGACATTTCCTAAAAGCACAAAGTTGTCACATTCTAAGTATACAAGCCAGAACATTTTCTGTCAGAAATCCTGATGCAAGTCAATACTGAGTACAAGTCAATGCTGAGTGCAGGCATACTGAGCTAAATGAACCCGCAGCCTAACTCAGCACAACCAGCTTCCTATGTTCCTGCCTTCTCAGGTGCAGTTGGGGAAGGAGATAAAGTAGCCTAACCATCCACATATCCAAGTGCCAAGAACCATAATGTTGTTGAATATGAGTTGTTCACCCCTATTTGCTGAAACCATTCATGTGTGCAGCCTCCCACAGTATCAAGAATGGGTAGAAATGTATAAGGGTATCACGATGAAGACAATTTGTGTGGAATAAAAATCTTCATGCAAAGTATTTTCTTTTTGGAATTATGATGAAGCTTCCTCTACAAATGAGACCACATTTATGTTTCCCATATGCATCAATCCTGGCTGTGGAACCAAGCATGTTTACTATTGTTCATATGTGTGGCAGCACGCCCCACCCCCCAAATTTATTTCACTTTAAGCAAAATTAGATTCCTATAATTGGATTGTTGTGGGCTTTGTCCAGGGATGCGGTTGGTTTTCTCTATTCAAATTCTATCCCAATGGATGGTAAAGGCATACAGTGTAGAACCCATTTGAATCATGTTAGTTAGATATTGAAACTGCAAGTAAATTTTTTTTTATCTTTAAATTATCATCTGTTAATGTTTTCTCCCCCCAGATTCTCTATCTTAAAAATAAGATGATACTATAAACACCCCCTTATAAATTATTTGTTCTCAGATTTAAAACAACAACAATTTAAAAAGTAATTTTGGTACAGGGGCTGCATAATTTGAATATTTATACAAATGCTGAAAAGTTTATGATGAAAATGGTTATAATCACTCTTCCCTGTACAGGTTATACTCTGGCTCCCAGTGGTACCGTGGATAACTTTTCAGACTCTGGTCACAGTGAAATTTCTTCCAGATCCAGCATTGTCAGCAATTCTTCATTTGACTCCATGCCGGTATCACTACATGATGACAGGAGGCAGAGGCACTCCGTCAGCATTGTGGAGACTAACCTTGGAGTGGGCAGGATTGACCGAAGAGCCATAATTGAACCAGATCAGTACAGCATAGGGTAGGTAGTACATGTCAGTGTAAATACATTTATTAAAAGCCTACTCTAGAGCTGTAGATGCTTTTTCTTTCATGAGCAGATTTTAGGAACATGTATTCTGTTACAAGGCATCACTTGAGTGACTCTGCCTTTAAAGGAAAAGCAAAACACTGCAAACCTGTGTCCCATAATGCATAATGCTTTCTTGGCCCAATCTTTCCAAAATATCCTGTTATTTATTTTTAAATGTAGGGATCTCCCAGAAGGAATGGAGAGGGGAAACCTAGTAGTCTTCTTAAAAGAATGCTTGTGTAATTATGTACATTTGGACAAACTTTGATCAGCTTGGACTGAGGTGTCTTTTAGAATAGGATCTAAAAATAGAATGGTCCCTCAATTTTTGAGTTGGTGTTTAGTGAATGCTTGAGAGACATCTTGGTTACATTTATTAGTTTAAAAGAAGCTGCAACTTGCAGGACAGGCGGGAAATTTATTTTAATTGGAAATCTGTTTAAAATCCTAGCTGATATGCATCCAGATATTTCAAGTAAAATCATGGAATTCAAGTTTCGCACACTACTGCTTAGGCAAAAATTAACAAAATATCAATGGGGGACCTCATTTAAACTACTTATCTTGTTGAATAAGAAACTGTGGTTAAAACATTAGCTAATCAAAGATAATAACAGATGGAAGGAATATTTAGTTCAGATACTGGAAAGGACAAACACTTAAACTTATCAAATATAAAAACAGAATAATGAAGATAATAAATACAACTTGAATCAGCAAGTGGGACTCGAGAAGCACTGCATCAAGAAGAACAAAGAAAAGTAAATTATTGTCAATAAGGGAAAAGGAGAGAGGAGGTGACAGTGCAAATTAGTATGTTAAATTGGAAATCTAGAAAATGTTAGTGCTGGGGACTACATTTATATAATTCTCAAAATTAAGGAATCAATATTTGGGAAAAGTTGTTTTTAAACTACCACAGATAGAATACAATGCAAATTCTTTCACTAAATATTAAAGGGCTGAATTCACCATTTAAGATACCAAGAGACCTCTAAGCACCAAAGAAAATGAACTTGTAAAAAGTTTCATTTAAATGTGCACTGATTTTTTGTTGAGGGACATTTTGTCATATCCAATTCCAGACAGTGTTTAGTGACTAATGTCCTAAATCTTTTCCCCAATTATTTTGATAAGTATTAGATGATATATCTGCATCTCCAAGCGATAATAGGGGAAGAATGGGGAAAATGCATGCTCCTAATACTCTTACTAGATTCACAATTTGAAAAATATTTGAAAAACACCCAATGACACTTCTGATCTAGTGTTCAGTTGGTGCACAAGTATCACAATAATTTCATTAGACGTATATTTGGCAGCTATTGAAGCATGTGAATTTGAGCACAGACGTCTTTAGAGTTAACTGATCTGTACTACAAATTGAACAAAATGCTTTCTGCAAATTGTTACTGCGGTTTGATATTCTAATTGCTAGTGGCAACATTGTTGCTTTATGCCTATTAATTATTTTGTTCCTGTGTTCTTCTAGCTACTACCCACCACTGTCAGAGAACAGAGGCTTGTATGCTGGGGCAACCATGCTTTCTTCTCCTAGCACTGAGGAGCTGTCACAGGATCAGGGAGATCGAGCATCACTTGATGCAGCGGATAGTGGCCGTGGTAGCTGGACTTCTTGTTCAAGTGGTTCCCATGACAACATACAGACAATACAGCACCAGCGAAGTTGGGAGATTCTTCCTTTTGGACATGCTCATTTCGATAGTTCAGGCGATGGGGCAGGACTGTGGGCCTCAGGCAGCCACATGGACCCGATGATGTTCTCCGATCATGGCACAAAGTATGGCAGGCAGAGTCAAGGTAGGGAGGGCCTTGATCAAGCACAGTCCAGAGCAAGCTGGGCATCCTCCACAGGCTACTGGGGAGAGGACTCTGAAGGTGATACAGGTACCATAAAACGGAGGGGTGGGAAGGATGTGTCAATTGAAGCTGAAACCAGTAGCATAACATCTATGACAGCAGAGGATTCAAAGCCAGTTCCCATGCCAGCTCATATAGCTGTGTCAACAAGTAATACAAAGGGTCTTATTGGTAAGTTTACCTTTGTCTACCACAAAGTATCCTACATATTTGCTATAAATATGAATTTATTTTACAATTTTTTTTCTTAATCTTTTTTTAAGCAAAACATATAGCCAGCTCATAGTCTTAACTTGTGTTTTGCTTTTTCAGTAAAGCCTTTTGTGCTGAAGTGATGCTTCCTCCTGCAGATCCATTGTTATTTTTAGTTAATTTTTTTTTTATCTTGCCTCAGAACTGCCCACATTTTAGTCATTAACATAAACTCTGGTTTTCTTTTCCTTTCTAGTTTGTTAATATGCTTAGGCCAATGTCTTATAATATGGGGGTACAGTTTTCTCTCTCTGTGTATGTCAATAATATAGCCCTAGTGTGCTCTGCCCTATACCTCCATCAGGAACAACTGCAATTTGTTGTTTAGCACAATTTTCTTCTATGCCTTAATCACTAATGCGGATTTAAACTTGTCTAGGGATATAAAAAGGTGAAGATGCTGGTGTTAGTGAGCAGGAGATGAAAGGATTTGAATAAATCTTGCTATAGCATTTCAGGATATAAATGGGAAAGGGCTGTAGATCTGGAGTGGAGCACTGCATTGCACGCAAAAGGTCCAGGTTCAGTTGTCGGCATCTTCTGGCTGACAAAAGATTCCTGTCTGAAACCCTGGAGAGCTGCTACCAGTTAGCAATAAAACTGAACTGGATGGGCAAATAACCTGCCTTAGGAAATGCAGGCTGTTTCCTATGTTTCTTTCCTGACAGCACACTTTTTTCTGCCAGTTTGTATATGTCACAGATTCTGGTGTGTAGAGTGACAAGGGGAACCCCACAACCTTCAACAGATATATGGGAAAGGGGAACTGTCCCCCTGACACTGGCTAAACAGACTGGCGGTCCCTGGGATATATTCTTCATGGGTAATCCCTTGACTTCACACTATTCTTTCTCTCTGACGTTTCGAGCACTCATCAGCTATATGCACAAACCAAAATGATTCAGTAATAAACTGAATTTTTACACATACATGTATGCATGCAGATGCAGACAGAGAGATTTCTCACCATCCTCCATTTTGGCAAGTGAGAGTATTTTTGCCTTGCCCCCCCAGTCAACATAATAGGGAGCACATTTCTTTGGCTTATCTTAAATATTTTACTTCCTGGATTTTAAGATTCCTTCTCACTTATTACAGCTAATTCATGTATTTATTCTTTCTGTTGTTTTGTGAACCATCTTGGATAACTTCTTCTTGGAAAGACAATATAGGCATTTTATTAATGATGCGTAGGGAAGGAGTACAGCACTCCGAACCTGAGCACAATATATGTGCTTTATTATTTGAGCTATAAATACTTTTTATTTTTATTTAAGTATGCTGAGAGAATTAGGCAAAACATGAATCTTGTCAGAATATCACCTCAAGTGAGAGAACTGTATATACTTCAATATGCAAAGTGGGTTAGTGCTATTTCTCTTTTTTTGCTAGAAGATGAAAGCACAGTCATATATTGTCTATGCTTCACAGTGTCTTTTTATCAACTGTGTTCTTTACAAATCTAAGTTTGAGATTCTTTTTCAAGATGTCACCATGCCCTATATACATAATTTAAGTGTTATCACAAGCTGCTTTCTATAATTGGCTCAGGTTTTGTATTAGTTATCTTCTATTTCACTTGTTCTTTTTCTTTGTAGCTTTGCTTATGTCTATGTTTTTAATTGCATAATATATATAAAATTAATATGTAGGTGTATAGGTATTTGGTATGGATGTGCCAGAATTAAGCACTTTTAGATTCCATTGATTTGAATGGGAAAGCTTTAAGAATGTGCTCAACTCCCATTTGGATTCAGTGAAATGTAAATGCCTTTACTTTTGGGCTGCCTCATGTCCATACTGTGGTTGTTTTTAATGCCAAGGTGTTCAACTCCCTTGGAAGCACATCAGAGCTACCAGGATTATGACATAATAGAACTAAGTACAGGCATAGATAGTAGTTGTAACAAATATATGTAAATGATTATCATTGCTGATGATGCACTATTTTACTGCAGCTCGAAAAGAGGGCCGCTATCGTGAACCACCACCAACCCCGCCTGGTTATGTAGGAATACCTATTGCTGACTTTGCTGAAGGAGTTTCACACCCAGCCCGAAAACCTCCGGATTACAACGTGGCACTTCAGAGGTCTAGGATGGTGGCACGGTCAAGTGAAGCCCCTGGGACTTCAGCTTCACAGCAGCAACCACAGGGTCCTCCATCTAGCAGGCCTGTGGGCAAACCTCAGTGGCACAAACCAAATGAGTCAGACCCACATCTGGTTCACTATCAGTCTCAAGGGTTTTCCACAGAGGAGGATGGTAAACATCTTATAACATTTTGAAAATAATAAGTTAAGGGTTCGTTTCCATAAGTGCTTTTGCATCCAGAACAGTTTATGCAGGTGCAAGAGAGGGCGTGTACTTTTATCCAGCTCTGAGCTCAGAAGTGTTTCTGACTTTGTTTCTTGTTCATATGACGGAAGTGCTGGCAGCTCATCCAATCATTTATTGATTGTTTTTATGTGGTGTATATCTTGGTTCTGAGAGGGAGGATTTTCCATGGGCAGAATTCTTCTTTTGGTATAAAATCCCAGAGGTCTTCAAATACTTTGTAGACTAAAAAGCTGTAAAGTTTGCACTTCCTCTGCAGCACATCAATGCTCTCAGGATTTTAACTTAATATTGAGTCAAGTGTAGGGCCATGTAATGTTTGTAGCAAAGGTGTAAACATTAGAACTTTACTGAGTTGAATGTTAAAAACAGTCTGATTTGGTAAAATTAAAGTGGAGATGGCAAAGCAGCCAAATGGTATTTTAATCTAAAGGGTAAATGGAAGAGCCATGCTGAAAGAAACATAAGGTTCTGTATTTACTTGAGAGAGATGTAAACACAGTGAGCTGGTTCACATGCAAAAGTAAAATTGTGGTTTAGCACTATGTACACAGACTCAAACAAAGGCTCTTGCTTCACCCCTTCAGCTTCTGCTGGACTGCCTGAGAAGGCTTTTGCTAGTATTTACTTCCAGTGTTAAAGAAACCTGACTTATCAGCTAGAGCAGTGTTTCCCAACTTTTTTGGGCAAAGGCACACTTGTTTCATGAAAAAAATCTCGAGGCACACCACCATTACAGCCCCGTGACGTCAGCGCGCAGCGTCACGCCGGGAGGGACATGAAATTGCTAGCAAATTACATAATCACCTCCTTGAGGGCTGGCTCATCTTCTCCGAAGGCAGAAACCCCATTAATTAACAGCACAGACTCACACCATAGCCAAGACGAGGGGGGAAAACCTCAGTCATGCACAGTCATGCACATGTGGGGGCTAAATGAGGACGAAGACCAGGCAGAGAGCAGGGTTCAAATCACCCCACCTGGCCAGGACAATCCCTGGGTGCTCCCTTGGGCCACTCGCCTGACCCATCTCGCAGGGCTGTTGTTGCGAGGATAACACGGGGAGAACCACGCGCGCCCCGGGAGCTCCTTGGAGGAGAAAGCGGGCGATGAATGCAATGCACGAAATATATGAGAGGCGACCAGGTTTTGCAGGTGAGGGGCCCCCGCCAGCCTCCGCTTCCAACACCCGGTGCAACGACGCCGAAGTTTCCCCCTGGGCTCGGCTCGGGGAGCAGCGCTGCTCCCCCCCGGCTCCCCTTCGCCCTCCCGGCTCTCTCTGCCGCCCACTGGGGACCCCCCTCACCTGCCAAGTCCGGAGCGCCGGTGGAAGTTGCATGCATGCATGCAGGGCGCCGCGTTGCCATTGCATTGCACTGCACTCCATGCAACGCCTGCACGCATGCATTGCCTTGCACGCCCGCCAAGGGGTCTCCCCGCGGTCCGATGCGTCCCCTCCGGCGCGGATGCAGCATTGCAAAAATAAAAAACCCCCGACGCAGCCCTACCTGGGGGGCAGCCTCCGCCTCCGCCGCTCCGCCTCCGCGGGGATCCCCGGGCTCCATCCTGCCGCCCGATCTCCGCGGGGGCGCAGGCAGGCTGCGCGGGGTCTGCGCGGAAGAGCCCCTGCCCGCCCAGCCGCCGCCGCTGCGCTCATTCCATGGCCGGGAGAAGAGCGCTTCAAACAAAACGCCCGGCCGCCAGGCCACGCTGGGAAACGTAGTTCGCGCACCCCGCGCGGGCGTGGAGCCCAAGGGCGAGGGGACTATGGATCCCGGCAGCCCCCGCGCCGGGGACGGAGGGGGAGAGGCCGGGTGCAGGGATGGAGGGACGGGTGGGCGAGCGAGTGAGTGAGTGGCAGCCGCCAAGCCTTGGCCGAGAGCCAGGAAGGGCCTCCCCGGAGGAGGAGGAGGAGGAGGAGGAGGAGGGAGACGCAGAGCGGGAGGGAGGGAGGGAACCCCAGGGGTCATCTAGTGACGGCGCCCCAATCGAAAATTTGACTTTAAAAAAAAAAAATCTTTCGAATTTTTTAATTTTTCCCGCGGCACACCAGGCAACATCTCGCGGCACACTAGTGTGCCGCGGAACAGTGGTTGGGAAACACTGAGCTAGAGATTGGAGCTTAAAACAGACTCTGGTTAGTTTCTAAAGTGGGTTAGGGACATTTTTCGGACTGGTAAACCAAATCCTTATCTCCCCACCTCTGGAGGTTGTAATTTGACATGTGAGTAGTGCTGTCCACATGTCAATCACCTGATGTCATAGGGGTATCAGGTAGCATTGTGCTTTGAAGCCTGCACTTTTGGGACTTCAAAGCACCATCAAGGGATATTTGAAAGCCCTTTTGCAAACAACCCAACCAGTGGTTTAAAGTGTACTGCAGGGCTTTGGCTGAGTATGCCTGTTACCAGCCAGATCCTATAACTCTCTGCTCACCAGGTGAACATGCTGCTGAAACAGATAACAGAGGGAGGTACTTTGCCCTTGTAATAAGCAGCTGATTTCACTCAGTGATACTAGCTGATGGACAAGTGGGCGTGCGAAAAGGCCTTGTGGGTCAAGATTAGTCAGTGTGCCACAGGTTTGCCAGCCCTGTTCTAAACAGACCAACTTTTAAACCGTAGGTTATGAAGCTGGCTTGTTTCAGAACATAATTTGGTTAGTTAAACTCTAATATCTGATTCCTATGTACCAACTAGCGAGAATTCATGGCTAGTATTTACCTTCTTTTCCAAAGTCCTGATTCTGGCTGCACAGGAAAGGGCATGGAGAGTGAATGTGCATGCTACACTATCGGTTTAGTGTTACAAGTGAACAAACCTAACATATAAATACATTGGCTATTTTAGTTCTAAATACCTTGAGATGTATTTACCTCCTATCCTGTTGTGTTTGCAGAAGATGAGCAAGTCTCTGCCGTCTAAGAACTGGGGCTTTCTGGATCCTGCGTGAGCCAACTTAAAGGAGAGCACAAGACGACGCCCCTAGTATAGGAGCCTTGGAACTCTAAAGGATGGTGGACCAGTTTGCCTCCTTCCCTGCCTTAAAGCAGCATGGGGCTTCTCCCCCTTCCTCCCGCACTCTTCTTCCCTTGCATGTGAAATACTGTGAAGAAATTGCCCTGGCTCTTTTCAAACTGTGTTGCTTGAAATGCACATTGCAGCGGTTTTCCAGCTACCACTGTTGCTGTCTGCCACATCACAGTAGCATTCTAACTTCCAACATCTACGCATCACAATGAATAACTGACTGTACTTCTCAAATGTCTGGAAACATTATTTAAAACCTTCCTCAGACCTTAATCACATTCAGAGGTATAGTGGCGTGGGGGCTGCTGGGGGGGGGGCACAGAGGGCTGCTGCTTCCTTCTCAGCCAGAGGGGTGCGGTGGCTTTCTGCGCTGGCCCTGCGCTGCTTTTGCAGGCAACGTGGGACCCTCAGTGTTCCCCTCAGCACCCTTCAGCTAAAGGGCACCCAGAAGAGATGCGGTGGCTTGGGCACCCTGCAGGTCCTGCGCTGCCCTCAAAAGCAGTGTGGGGCTGGCACATGGAGCTGCTGTGTCTCTCCAACTGTGAAGGATTCAGTAGCTCTGGCACCCTGTGCCCCCCTCCCAAGACTACACCCGGCACGATGTCCACCCCCAGCACACCCCAACCTACGCCTGTAATTGTGATTAAGATCTGAGGAAGGTTTTAAATGCTTCCAGGCATTGGGGAAGTACAGTCAGTTATTCATTGTGATGTGTAGATGTTGGAAGTACACGTTTTTGATTCCCAACTAAGAAAAATGCTGACATGTATTTCTGGCTGGTTCAATGATGGAGAAGAGATACCATCTTTCGGTTGTAAAGCCTTGGCCTATTTAGAATTTTTTAGTCCTCTCATACAGCTGTAATATAAATGATACTGTGATGTGGAAGATGGCAATAGCGGTAGCTGGGGAAAATGCCGCACTGTGCATTTCAAGCAACACAGTTTGAAAAGTGCCAGGACAATTTCTTCACAGTATTTCACATGCAAGGGAGAGATGTGGCGGCTCCATGCGCCGGCTCCACACTGCTTTAGCGGCCTCTCACTGCTTTTGCAGGGTACACAAGCTGCCACATCTCTTCTGGGCACCCTCCAGCCAAAGGGTGGCTGAGGGGGACGCAGTGGCTTGAGCGCCCTACCGGTCCCACAATCCCCACAAAAGCAGTGTGGGGCGGCGCATGAAGCTGTCACATCTCTCCCTTGCATGTGAAATACTGTGAAGTTATTGCCCTCCAGCTGAGAAGGATGCAGCAGCTCTGGCACCCAGCACCCCCCTCACAAGATTGCACCTGGGGCGACGCCCCCCCCAGCACCCCTCACTCTACGCCTCTGATTGTGATTAAGATCCAAGGAAGGACGGCTGAGAAGGACGCAGTCATTCTGATGGCATACCCCACCCTACGGCGTGCCCTTTTCCCATTGTGCGGCACGCTCCCACCCGCCCCAGGCACCACCACCGGGTCATGCCCTGCCGCTGATCACAATCTGTGCACTTCACCTCGTTGGGATAATGAAATCAACTAGTTGACAAGCTACATTTGGCCTTTACCCTACTAAGAGAAACATGTTGAATTCCTTCAAGTACACAGTGCTTGTTTGCTTGTTTACAATGCCTTTGTTGCTACTCTAAATGTTGTATTGGGGGGGGGGGAGTTACACCTGCATAATTTCAGTATTATTTTGTACTTTTTAAGAAGCGGTTTTTAAAAAGCTATAGTGTATCTAAGTAAAGGTGGTCTATAGGGAGGATTCAGCCTTTCATTGACCTTCAACCTTCATTTTTAGTGTTCCACACTTGGAGCACAGTTGATCAGTTTTGGAATTGCTGGTATTGCTAATTTGCATCTATAATGATGCAGGGCAATTAGTCTTGCATTTTAATAGATGCAAATCCATTTTGCATCCCTTTCCTGTGCCTTGAGGAATACAGAATGGTGAATAAAAACATTTGTCGCACTTTGACAAATAGCAATTCCATCTTTTACTTCAAATATTTTTTCCTTTTTATCATCCTTGTAATACACTAACAGTTGTCACACACAAATTATGAGGATAATACTACAGTTAAGGCAATGCAGGACCCTGCAACTAATGCCAACCCTTAATAGTGATGTAATAGGCTCTTTTTATTGGCTTTGCATTAGGAAGTGATACAACCTTTTTATAAAGAGGAGCAATCTCTGAAGATCTACCAGCCTTAGCAGTGCAAAAATATTCACAACTGTGGATTACTTTTATGGAACACTGCATGTATAGAGAAGGCCAATCGGGTAGCAATCACATGCTCACAGCTGCTATTAATCCTTGAGTGACTGAAATGAAATGACACCCCCTACTTTCTGTTTTGTATGTTGGTTTTGCACAGACTCCGGAAAAGTGAAGGCTGCCAATCTGAGCAGTACTCAGATGTGAGGAACTGCTGGTCTTGGATTTTTTTTTCAATTGAACTCAGCTGATCATATTGATCAGTAGATAAACGTAAATAACTTCAACTTCTAAAGATCAAATTGCAGTGTTTTTTCACTGTATTGAATTATGTCAGTGCTTTATTTAATTATTCTCTTTCTCCTGTATTCATGGCTTTCGTCTTATTTGCTCATATATCACATTGTCAATTATACATTTGTAATTTTACATGTAATATGCATTTGCCAGTTTCATTATATAGGGTATGGACCACATGTGCATATAGCAAGACAGAACAAACCTAGCTGTATCACAAGTTGCACAAATGTTATATAGGCATTAAGTAATTGTAGACCATAGGACTGCTAATCTCAGTTCACTCTGTGATGTCAAGTGCAGAATGTACAACTAACTGGTGATTTCCTCATACTTTTGATACTACTTGTACCTGTATGTCTTTTAGAAAGACATTGGTGGAGTCTGTATCCCTTTTGTATTTTTAATACAATAATTGTACATATTGGTTATATATTTTTGTTGAAAATGGTAGAAATGTACTATGTTTATGCTTCTATCCAGTTTGTATGAAGCTGGAATATAAATAAATATAATGTTAATGATCTCCGTATTGTTTTGCGCTGTCTTGGATGTTTTCTTAGGCTTTGCTAGTCATATATATGGGAGAGAACTGCATGTGCAGCTAGTCTCTGTGCCACTACTAGAGGCTGTCCTGAGCTAGTATAGTGACACCAGCAGATCTTTAGCTTATACAACAACATTTCACCAAGACTTGTAAAGCCCTGGCCTTATATAACGACAGCTACGCTAATGTTCACTAAATGATGCTAATGAATTAAGACTCAGCTCCTTGGCATCATGTTTGTTTTAAAACCAACTCTAGAAGAATGCAGCCTTCAACCCTTTTGTTGCCTTTTCTCAGCTTGGAGCTCCTTTCTTTCCTCACTATGTTTCCAACAGTTCATAGTCAATGTTGACAGATTTGCAAAGCCACTTAAGCCCCATTCTCAATAAAACTGTATCTGAGCAGTACTATTTCAGGTGGGGGTTCAGATGTCTGAGTGCTCCTCAGTAATAATGGAAATCCCTGTAAACAGAAAAGCAGGTGCCAGGGAAATACAGTTGTTAAAACCTAGTCTTCTTCCTGACATGGCAATTTTCTATGTGAACCGATTAAAAAAATAAAAATGAAGAAGCATTATACCATACGACACACCCACCCGTGCTGATAAAGCCAAGATACAGAATTACCATTTAATTAAAACTTGACCTTGAGAGGATTTCTGTGAGTCGCCAGTGTAAACAGACATACGTACATCATTTTACTTGCATGCCACCTTTCCACGGTTAATAGCCATGCTCCAGGTGGCTTACACCATGAAAAGAAATGCACAATTCAAAATACAGCAAAAGTAGTCATAAGGGATAAATAAAACATCAAAAAGTACACAACCAAACCAAACCAAACAATTTCCACATAAATCATAATAAAGGTACAAAATAAAACTACACAAATTAATATCAATAACAGCAACAATAACACCCCCTCAGCAAAAACCCCTAAGCAACAATAATTATAAATAAACTTTTATTTATATCCCGCCCTCCCCAGCTGAAGTTGGGCTCAGGGCAGCTAACAATGCCCCCACCCAGAGTCTGTTCAGCAGCCTCATCATCAGTCAGCCCCCCCCCCCCCCGGACAGTTGGAAGAAGGCAGGGAGATCAAATAAAAATGTTTATATAAAAACCACTATAAGCAGATGGAAACATTGGCAGGATTTTGATTTCACTTGTAGTGTAAAAATTACCATGGGAAATATTGATTGATATAATAGAGTCTGGAAGAAGATGCAGTTTAAGATGTTTAAAATGGGGATCCAGGGAGGGGTTGGGGGTGTTAGTCCTGAGATTTGGGGGAATCTCTGTATATGAATATGTATATGAATTTTTTAAAAATAAATTTGTATTGGAAAATCGAATAAAAATGTTTATTAAAGAAAAAGGAAGGGAGGGAGGAAGAAGGCAGGGAGCAGGCCTTCCACGACTCACAGCCAAGATGATATTCCAGCAGTAAATGTAATCCCTTATTCTCCGGCCGGAATTACTACTCTTTCAACATGGATGCTTTCTTCCCAACCATTTCCCTCCCATCCCTCTGCTGCAATGGTCAAAACCCCCTCCAAACATTCTTCTCCCTCATCTTTGATTGTCCTTAAAGGTGCCTTTTATTTTTTTCCTGTCAGGTCCCCTCCTGCAGGAAAACACTCCCACCAGAAAATATATAGCCTAAAATATCTGTTAATGTACAAATACAAGATACAGAAGCAGGATGGATTTGATTTAAATTACTAGTCAGTAAGACTTGATTTACATCACACTTTTTGTACAGAAAGACTCATTCTTGCTGGTTTAATCTTAATATTTACAACCAGATGAAGGTTTCATTTCTGGAATAATAAATTTTCAGAGTAGTTTTTACACTTATATAAAAAAAAAATCACGGAGTTATACTATTAGAAATACATAGATAATTATGAAATTATTGTGAGGTTTAATAAGTTAACTTTATATTTGTACTTTATTGGAAGGAGAAAAATAATCATTTCCTTAATAACAATTTAAACAATTTATTTAACTAAAGCAATAATATTATGTATCCATGTTTGTTAACTGATGTGGTTGAACTTAAAAAAACAAATAAACTTAGACTGAGTTTTAGCACACATGAAAAACTTAAAACAAATCCTTATTTCCAGTATAGCCTTTGGACTATACTGTAACTTAAACTGATAAAATATCTTTAGAAAGATTTTTCCTCCAAAAGCATTTTATTTTAAAAATCCTATTTAAATTTTAAAAAATCCTATTTAAATCAAAAATCTGATCATTTAAAATTGAAATCATTGATTTTTATCCACCCTGTACTAAAGGTTGTCTTTAAATGAAATCCTTCATTAAATGTGTTCAATATACCCATGCCAGCACCCAAAACTCCTTGCATGCTGAGATAATGGGATCGGGGAGACAGAGAAGTTGGCAGGGGAGAGGAGGGAAATGTCTCCCTCCACTAAGGGAAGAGGAACCGAGGAGATGTTGAAGGAAGTTAGAAAGTGAGGTAAAAGGCTAATTTATAACATAATCAACAACAGACAAATGGGGGGATATCAGAAGAAACAGATCAAAAAGTGAATGTACATGGCCATGGAAGAGAAAATGGGAGAAAAAACCACAAGAGATGCGTAAAATACTTTTGAGAGATTGGGTGGAAATACGAAAATATAAAAGCAAAAGCTTTCCCCACTTAAAGCTGGATCAGCTTTCCCAATGCCACCAGAAAAAGTGCCAGTATTTAGCATGAAGAAAACCGACAGTGGATTCCTTGCTGCAAGGAAAATGCTGAGGTAAAAAATAGCCATTTTGAAAGATTGATTCGATACCAGTAGAAAACCATGCAAGTTATTGCCAGCTCCTTGTGCCAAACTCCGCCTTGCCACCATTTTGTAACTTCTTCTGCCCTGCACCACCATTTTGTGACTGCTGGGCCTCGGTCATTTTCAGCCATCTTAGTCGGCCCTGGGAGCAAACAGTTTAATAATTTATGATGTAGTTAATCCTAAATAATACTATCTGCTCCTTTTAATCCAAATAGTGAAGTATAAAAGCTTCATTCATATATTTTTAAAAGTTTGCACGTTGTGTTTATTTGAATTCCTACTCTGTATACATTATACTTCAACATACCATCCAATACCCAAAGTTTGCTTCTGATTCTGTAACAATAGCATGATAATAACATATATGTATAATATAGATATATGTGTGCGCGCGTGAACAATATATGAATGCACACTTCTGAAGTTGCATCCTTATAGTTTTTAAAATACTGTTCATGAAGGTCACTTTCCTTCGGCTGTGAAATACACCTTTTCAGATGAAGTGTGTCAGTATCTTAAAAGCATGGAGTTAGGTGGACTGAATCAATACACAGACTGCAGCCTGCCAATGAGAAGTTGTGTGCTTGACAGCAGTGCTTCACTTCACTTTGATATTCTAACTGCAAAGGCTGCACAAATTTATTACGATCAAAATCCAGCAATCTTCCTAAACCTTTCTATGGGGGGTGGGGGTAGTGGGAATCCTTCTACAGCCAAGTTCTTACTTTAACAATTTAAAGTAGGAATGGCGGACCTGTGGCCCTCAAAGTGCTGATGAACTTCAACGCTCACCTGCCACAGCCATCATGGCCAATGAGCAGGGATGATATGAGTTGTAGTCCTGAAACATCTGGAAGAACTGCAGGTTCCCTGTACTTGGGTTTGTGATATTTTTTGTGGTTTTTTGTTTTGCCAAAGTGGACATAGCGTTATCAGTTATATGTACTAAAGATGTTCTGTGCTACAGAATTTGAGGATTACTGAGATAAATTATGTAGTGTATTTATTACATGTGTATTTTTTGTTTTTTGTTTACAGAGATCAGCACAGTTTATATATTGCTTCTGTAAATATTGTCACCCATTCATCATCCTTGTAGGAAGGGTGGTTTTATAATGTAGTAATACAGTCAGTTGTATTTCCTGTAACATTACAGCACAATCCTGTATATATATATACTTAGAAGTAAGTCCCAGTGTGTATAATAGAGCATAGGTCTCCAAGCAGTAAACATACATACATCATTTTATTTGCATGCACCTTTCCAGTTATAGCCATGCTTCATGTGGCTTACGCCATGAAAAGAAATGCACAATTCAAAATACAGCAAAAGTAGTCATAGGAGATAATTAAAACATCAAAAAGTACACAACCAAACTGAACAATTTCCACATAAATCATAATAAAGCTACAAAATAAAGCTACACAAATTAATACCAATAACAGCATCAATAACACCCCTCAGCAAAAATCTCTAAGCAATGCCCCCACCCAGAGTCTGTTCAGCACCCTCATCATTTGTACCAGGAGTCAGTCCCAGGACAGTAGGAAGAAGGTAGGGAGCAGGGCTTGCAGAACTCACAGCCAAGATGATATTCTCTGGCTGGAGTTACTACTCTTTGAACATAGATGTTTTCCCCACAACCATTTCCCCCCATCCCACCCTCTGCTGCAAGGTCAAAAGCCCCTCCAAACATTCTCCTCCTTCGTCTTTGATTGTCCTTAAAGGTGCATTTTTTTTTTTTCCTGTCAGCTCCCCTTCCTGCAGGAAAACACTCCCACCAGAAAATATATAGCCTAAAATATCTGTTAATGTACAAATACATGATACAGAAGCTTGTTTTAAAACAAAATCCTTCACTAAATGTGTTCAACATATCATGTCAGCACCCATAATTCCTTACATTCTGAGATAACGGGATCGGGGAGACAGAGAAGTTGGCAGGGGAGAGGAGGGAAATGTCTCCCTCTGTTAAGGGAAGAGGAACTGAGGAGATGTTGAAGGAAGTTAGAAAGTGAGATAAAAAGCTAATATATAACAAACCAGAAATGGAAAAGTGGGTGATATCAGAAGAAACAGGACAAGAAAGTGTATGTACATGGCCATGGAAGAGAAAATGGGAGAAGAAACCACAAGAGATGCATAAAATATTTTTAAGAGACTGGGTGGAA